AAAGAAAAAATCATGTTTTATATCTATTGATCAGAAAAAATATTTACGCCACATAGTTTATTATACTCGGTTTATACAAGATTGGTACATTATGAATAACGCCTTCCTCAGCTATAATATTTCATAACATTTTATATTGAGATACGTGGCGTAATATTTTATATTAGGCAGCATATTTTTAAAAATTGTCCAATACTATTTTATGACTAGGTTCACACAATCTTTTTATATATTTAATGATTTTTTAAATATAAATATAAAATCTACACAAAGTTTACTGCGTTTTCAAAAACTCGCATTCGATATCCTAAATCCACCTCCATGTCTTCCCTTTTTTTCCTTTTCCTTTTTGGACTCTTTTATCTTTTATCTTCTGTAGCTGAAGGCTATATGAACAGTGTTGTGATCATGGCTATCATTTTCTTTGCTAGCTAATATGGTAACGACTTTCTTATAATTTATTTATTACTCTCAAAATTCTGCCTTCCATTTTCATGTATATATATATGAGCTCCACGAGTCACCATGGTATTCATTAAATCTCCTAGCTAGATCTCCCATGAAAAGCAGAGATCAATATAGTGGTTTATGCGTATTTATTTTATTAAAAAAAAGTAAAATTTATAATAATATTTTGAAATTAAAACAGGTTATATTACTTGCTATAAATAGAGTAAGTGTAGCGTAAACTTTTTAACATTTTATAAGAAATAAGATTTGTAATATTGAATTCTTCGTTACTCATTTTGAGTAACGATTGATTTAACGTGATATCGCAATATTATTATTTTCTCCTCCTTTATTTTTACTTGTTATTTAATAATCATATTTTATGATTCTTTACCTACATTTTTTATAGTAGTTTTACCTTATATACCTTACTTTTCTCGTAGATTTATCCTACAAATTATTAATATGTGACATTATTTAATGACGAAAAATGATATGATCTATCTAAATATTGTATTTATCAAAACAATACAGTATAATTAAACACAATACATTATGAAACAATATGTAACAACCTGTAACAACCATCTAAACAATACAAAATTAAAGAAACTATAGGAGATTTTTGAATCTTCCAGTCTTAAATTAAAAATATATGTAGTCTTGTAAATCTTATGATCCTACACTTATCATAATATTAGAATTGAAAATTCTTACCAAAAATAGAAAAAACACTCTTTTAAAACAAACTACGGAAAAGGGTCAAAATTACCTCTGAACTATATGAAATAGACCATTTATACCCTTCGTTACATTTTGGGATAAAAAATGCCCCTACTGTTATCCTAAGAGACCACAAATACCCTCAAGAGTTAACACCCCAAATTTTTGTTGACGTGGCAAGCCACCTAATCCTTCCACCTAAGCGTTGCCAACTAGGATTCACTACAAAAGAACTAGACCTTTAGCGGCAACAACAGTCGCCACAAAAGCCCAGAAAATCGTCACTAAAGGTTTTTAACATTAAATTCTAATTTTGTGTTTTTTACTTCATTGTTTTTAAAAAACCAAATATGATATCGATTAAGTAGGAGTTTGAAGACACTATATGTTTTATTTTTATGTCATATGTAAATGTATAAAATGTACAATGATGCATTATATATATAGTAGGAGATTTGAATTGAGAAGTAATTTTGATTATTTTTCGTAATAATATTGGATGTTTTTAATATGGATATTGCAAGTTATTTATTTTAGAAAATTAGGTCGCAATCGAAAATTAATTATCATATTTTTTTGTTGAAAAAATAGGTTTTACTAGCGAATGGTTGTTGGAGCCTTAGTCGTCACTAAAAATCACTCATAACCTTTAGTGGCAATATTTTGGGATTTTGTGGCGACTTTGTCGCCACTAAAAGTCAAGTTCTTTTGTAGTGAATCTTAGTTGACAATGCTTAGGTGGAGGGATTAGTCCCATGTGGCTTGCCACGTCACTAAAAAAATTGAGGTGTTAACTCTTGAGGGTATTTGTGGTCTCCTGGGATAACTGCGGGGGTATTTTTGATCCCAAAATGTAATGGAGGGTATAAGTGGTCTATTTCGCATAGTTCAAGGGCAATTTTGACCCTTTTCCGAACAAACTAAAAATAAAAATAGAATACTTATATTGAAACGGCGAGAGTAAGTTGTATATAAAGTTAAGGTAGCTCAGCAATAATTTTATCGGGAAGCTATCGATATCATAACATTTATGCATGATCTTGACCCCTTAGACCCTACAAACCTAAAATAAACTTGAATTTTACACAGAAATAAATGGCATGTTGTTTAGTTCTTTTCCTTTTGTATTTTGACGTTAGTCAGGTCATTTTGGGTTATAATCAATAAAATCAGAATGAGATATATATACATACCTAAGTTGGATCCTTAGAAATAATTATTTAATTAAATAACTAAGGATTAATGTGAAATATGAGTTACACTTCTACTCTTAATGGAAACCTTTGAATGAAATAGAAAGTACACCTATTCAAAAAGTCAAAAGATCGTGAGTTAATTAGTATATGTATAATCGCACAAAAGAAAAATAAATATATTGTGCGAATATTATATTATAGTCCGCGATTAAAATCTACCTAAGATTAATCTAGAAAAGATATCTAAATAATGTTTGAAAATATGACTTCCTAAGACTGTTTTAAAAAAATTAGTTTTTTAAAAACCAAATCGACTTTTTGAAGCAAATTCTTGTTGGCTATAAATGTTTGATTTTTCATTAGATAGGGTACAAATTTTTCTATGTTTTTTTATTCTTTTTCTTTTTAAAATAAAACTCAAGCGTGATTTGTAATAATTGAGAGAGTTTGAAGTTCAACAATGTTTGAGGTATTATTATTCTGCTGAAGTGAATTATTCAATCCTAAAAAGTTATATTCTATAACCTTGGGTACTTGAGGAAAATAATTTCCATAAAACACACTATGAATTAATGAACTCAGTTTTTTCATTCTTTTATTTGGTTTATTATTGTTTTTGAAAAGTGTTACTGTTCATATTTTATTGAATACAAATATAAAGTAGCAAAAAAAAATATATCCTACACATGGGTCTTCAGACTCGGATGTTACATTTGATTATTTTATAATTTTAAAAATAAAACTCGGTATTTTTAATTTTTAAAAATAACCGACCAACCAAGGTTGAATATTTTTTGCAATCAACACTTTTTTTTACCAATAATTTTATGTCAATTTTCTCTAATAATCGACCTTCAAAGATCGATTTTGACTATATATTTAATATTGGCCTTTGAGTGTTTAGTGCGATTACGATGATTTATTAATTTTGTTAATAGTATATCGAATAAATAAGGGTCAAGTAAAATGTAACGGAAGAAATAAGTATGTTAAACCAAAAGCAAGTGCTCCATATTCTTGAAAAAAAAAATGTTCATTGCTTAAAAGCCTATTATTAATTTATTCTTGTATAGACTATAGAGTATATACTAAACTAATTAAAACAAGAAACAACATGGTAATACGAATTTTCATAAAGAAAGAGACAACCTGCTAGCCCTAGGTGTAGTGTCTGACTTTGTCCTATGGCTTTTATTTCTTTTATTATCTTCTCACCTACATTTGGTTCGATGCCTTTAATCATAAACCCGGTAAATTTTTCCTAATATTATCTAAAAATAAAAAAGTTATACAGTATCCTTTTTGTCTTATATAATGATATTTGATTGATCATAATTTTTTTTAAAAAAAAATATTTCCAAAGTACAAATATTTATTCTATGTTTCACAATCCACATGAAGGTTTTGAACATGCATGAAGATTAAAATAGTTAATGTTCGATATAAATTTAAATATGGATTATAATAAATTTTTTTGTATAATGCACAATATTTAAAAACATTCGTTTTACAAAATTATGGTTGAAGAAGAATATTTTTGACTCCCCGAATGGTAATGTCACTACATAAATTAGAACAAATTAACTAATGTATTAAAATTTGTGATAAACTTAATTAAATATGGAAATTAATATTAGTATAGCATAAGAACAAGTTATTAAGAATAAAATGAAAATTCAAAATGAAGAATTTCCCAAAAAAAAGGACTAAAAATAAAGCATGAGATAAATGGAAAAAAAAATAATTTCTCTTGCTTTCCTTTTTAGTTTTATAAAAAAAGAATGATACTTTCTATATTTAGTGATTTCTTAAATAAATAACTCACATGACATTTTAAGGCCACAAGATTCAAATATCAATTTAGTACATTATATATATATACATTTTAATTTAAGATCACGCGATTAAAAAATCTTTCTTATTTTTTCAAACTTGGTGCCCAGTCGTAGGTAAAGCTATAATTTAAACTTTATCATGAGTTCCAAATTCTAAAAATAGCTAAGGACATAGTAATTATTACACCCGTCCACTTTTAATTATCATAATTTTTTATTTTTAGAGTCAAACTATAAAAAATTTGATTAATATTTTACGATGTATTTTTCATCATATTGATATACAAAAAATTACAATTTATAGTACCTTTCGTATAGTTTTTGAATATCTAAATTTTTTGTTTAAAATATTGAATTAATATAATTTAATTTATCTTTAAAAATTAGTTAAATTCATGACTTTCAAAAAATGAACATGACAAATAAAAGTGGACAGAGAAAGTAGTAATTGTTGAGCTCTACATTTAATTTTTATACATGTATTTGATAAATTTTCTAATACAAATACAAAAACTTCTCTAGGTATGCGACTTCTAGCTCTGTTCTTGTACCCTATCAAATTAAGACACATAAAATGAAACAAATGTATTTCCTTTCATTTCACTATCACAATTGTAGCTAAAGTTACCCCCTTCCCCCCCCCCCCCCCCCCCCTCTCCTTTCTCCTCACCTTTTTCTTTCTTCTTTTCCCCTTCACCCATCCTCCATTTTATCATCCCAATAAATCCTCTTTATTCATATATAAATATACATGTACCAACTATACACAAACTACTTAATCAAGTGTCTACAAAATATATAGAACTCCATAGAAAACAATTTTTTTTTCTAAGATTTGAGTATGACAGAACCCTACTATAATTTCTTCACAGGATGGTTCAACTTCCTTCCTCTTCATCAACAATATATTTCATCTTCCAACTTTTGTTACAACAAAGAAATTGCACCTTCTTCACCACCACTAAGAGAAGCTCTTCCACTTCTCAACAACAATAATAATAATAATAAGTATTCTTGTGAGAGTAGTACTACTACTTTTTCTCATGAGGAAAATACTACTACTAATTATTATAATGAAAATGTGAGTGTATCTCTACATATAGGGCTTCCAAATTCATGTGAAGGAGTAGTAGATAGTGGAGGAAATAAAGAAGAAGATCAATTTGATGTGGTTTCTAATGATAACAATAATACACAAAATAAGGGACAATATTGGATCCCTACTCCTTCTCAAATCCTCATTGGTCCAACACAATTCTCTTGCCATCTTTGCTACAAGACTTTCAACAGATACAACAATCTTCAGGTATGTATACTACAACTTCTCTCAGTTCAGTATACAGATGCGGATTCAGAATTTAAATTGGGTGAAATTTTGTTTTAGTTTATAAAAAAACCAAAACATGATATACATAGAAGGGAGATAAACTCCTATCATGAGATATAGTGGCAGACAGAGTGTTCAAACACAGAGTTCATCTGAACTCAGTACTTTTTATGTGAAACATAAATTTATGTATAAAAATTGATGAAAATTACAACAAATAATATGTCTCAAACCACAAAATTTAAATCTTGAGAGGAATTACACATCATGAAGTTCACAAAAGAATTCTATGCACATAAAATTGATGGGTTAATCTTTAAGTTTATTAACACTAAAACTCATTGTAATTTTAAAATAGCCACAAATTAAATTTTAATGATTTTTCCCATGTGTATTTATATGTTTCACACACCCCCAAAAAAGAGAAAAATTGAATTCAAGTTTCAACTGAGTCCAATGAATATTGTTGCATCCCCCTATATATGTCAGTACAGACTTAGCTAGCCAATCTTTGTTTTTTTTCCCATCAAGTTTGAATTTATACTTCTTTTTGGGGAAGTTTTGTCTATATTTTGAATCAATTACAAGTTGAATTGTGAACTTTTTATTTTATTTTTTGTTTAATTTACAATTGCTTCCTTAAAATGATTTTGTTGATGAATTCATTATAAAATTCTTCATGTTTTATCCATTTGTTATGGATCTTGTACTAATAAGTATAGATACACCTTCAACTAGCTACTTTTCTTCTTCTTTTTCCGAGCAATAGTCAAACGAGGGCGTGAATATGAGATTTTAAGGATCCTCTGTCTTCAGAACGGTTCACTCACCAGCTAAAAATCTAATTTTCTTCATAAATGTCTTTTAGTTTTATACCTAAATTCATCACTTGTACACCTTTTTATTTAAACTACTATTACAACCACTACAAATCATGTGATTTATCACTATTTCTTGTTTACTTTTTTTCCCTTCAATTCCACACTTATTTATGCATGAAATTAGGGTTTTTTTTTTTGACAAATTTACTTACATTTTAAAGTTAGATTACATTTGCTTTTCCTCAATAAAGTCTTAATCTCCTTTTACTTTTTTTTTGTTCATATGTTTTTTGGTATTTGGGTAATAGAGACAATTCAAACAATTTCGTGCACAAATTTCTGCTACCAGGTGAATATGGTCAAATATGAAACTGACAATTTTTCCAGTGTTAAAATCTGACAAGATTTTCAGTGTTATTTTCTTACTGCTTCAGGAGAATCAGGACAGTTGATCCCATTTTTTATTTTTAATTTTAATCCTTTTCTTCTATTAATTCAGTAAAACAATAGAGTATCATTCAATTTAATACTACTTCTGAAAACTCTCAGTATTTCTTGCAGAATATAACTGTTCCTTTCTCCTAACATTGAATGAATAATTTTAACACTAATACTCCCTTTTTCACCTTTTGTCATCCTCCCAACTTCAAGATAACTCTTGTTCTAATAATAATAATAACTTAACTTTATTCATTAACTATTTGACCCTCCAAGTTTCATTAATTCCAATTTGTTTCTCCTGTACTGAGTTGATTTCTCAGATGATCATTCAACTAATAATTATTATCTCACACTTTCTGATACAATAACTATTATTAGAGTGATGATATCTGCCAAATGTTTCAAAAAATGTCATAACCTTGCTAATGGTTCTATGATTTTTATTCTAGTAGTCTTTTAGTCCTGTCAAATATATATAGAAAATGTAGAGAATTTCTGGTGTTTTGTTTTTCCTTTGTATAATTGTAGTTCGAGGATGAGCTTAAATGAAACGATATAGTCAGTAATACTTCATATATTGAACCCAATTCGCGTTTTGTCATACTCCTTCAACTTGAAGATGACTATTCATTTGGCCCTTCAAGTTTCAACAATATCAATTTAATTAAGTCGTTCATCCAAATGTTTTAAAAAACACCTTAATCTCGCCATAGTTTAAGGACAAATTTGATTCATTACGATCTTCTTCCTATGTTATATGATTTCTAGGAGTCTTTTAGTTCTTTCAGATATATAAAAAATATAGACAACTTCTAATACTTTTTTATTTTATATATAAAGTGTACTAGTTTTAGAATAAGCTTATATGAAACAATATAGTCAGTGAGAATTTATATCCTATACTTTGCCCCTCTGACTGTTAGTCAACACTTTGCTAGTTTTCAAGTAGATGCTTATGATGACTGTTTGACTAAAATCTCTCAAATAAATTCTGAATGATTCATACATAAATTTTTTTCTTATTTTTGACACTTGGAGATGGATGTATGAAATGTTTTCATATATAGTTGTAAAAGTTTTTTTATATACACAATGTAATTCATTTATTTATATTTACTGAGTTTAAGTTATATACAATAACGGTCTCAGAAATTTTAAGTCATGAGTGCTTAATTGTCTATATTCCAAATTTTCAACTGGTGCACTTATTATCAAATCCTGAGATTAGGTGCTCATGAGTCTTCCTATTTCTTTATCTTTACTAAAAGACTGTTTGGATGGGCTTTAGTCTTTCTCTTCTTTTTTTTGGCTTAAAATTAAATGTTTAAAAATATTTTATTTAATTTTATGCAAATATTATAAAATTGCTTAAAAATTATTTTAACTTAAAAACAATTAAAATAAGTCAATTTAGATAGACTCTAAGTTTGCAATATAGTATGTTTGAGTCAACACATTATAATTTCTATGGAGCTAGGTCCATTGTTGGTTCCATATACTGATGATGATGTTAAAATCTATAATAGCAAAAGAGATATTTAGTGGCATAGATATTTCATTGTCACAAAAACATTTAGCGGTAATTGAGTTAATTTCATTACATCTAAAGTCGCTAAAGCCTTTAGCTGCATTTATTTCGAATGATGATTATAAATACCTATATTATATTATTGCCTCATGCTCAACTATTTGCACCAAATATTATTAGGGAACACTTGTTTTCTTTTCAATAGAAAAGACAATATTGTTATAAATAGTTGAGCATAACTCTTTAATGACTTTTATATAAAGTGACGGTTATAAATACCTATATTATATTATTGCTACTAAATATAATATACATACACTTATATTATTGCCACTTTTACAAAAGTAAGAAATAAAAAACTCTGACTCGTCAATCAATGTATATAACTTAAATCCATATCAATGCATTTGTTTCTAACTAGAGTTTTTCTTGATCATGTTATTAATTAGATGCATATGTGGGGACATGGATCTCAATACAGAAAAGGTCCAGAATCTTTAAGAGGTACACAACCAAGTGCAATGCTAAGGCTACCATGTTACTGTTGTGCACCTGGTTGTAAACACAACATTGATCATCCAAGAGCAAGGCCATTAAAAGACTTTAGAACACTTCAAACACATTACAAGAGGAAGCATGGTGCCAAACCTTTCATGTGTAGAAAATGTGGTAAGCCATTTGCTGTGAAAGGTGATTGGAGAACTCATGAGAAGAATTGTGGTAAGATTTGGTATTGTATTTGTGGATCTGATTTTAAGCATAAGAGGTCTCTAAAAGATCATATTAAGTCATTTGGACGCGGTCATGGCGCGGTTGGGGTACCTAATCTTGAAGAACTAGAGGATGAATCAACGTCCGAGATTGAACAAGATTTAATGTAAATCGTTGTTTACAGTTCAGTGCTAAGAACTTTAAAGGTCGAAGACTTTTGTTCGCCCTCGAACGAGCTATATGTTGACTTTTGCTTTTGTTATGATATTCAAATTCTCTTTTTTAAAGTTTGTTCTATTTTATTTTTATTTTTGGATGAGAAATGTAAGGTTTGTGTAAATGGTTTTTTTTTCTAGCTATGTAATATAAGGATGTGTATTTTTCAGTGTTCTAGTACTAAATTTTCTTCTTAATTGTAAGGAAAAATATAAGGTTAAGAAAATGCGTTGGCAAAATATGTTAATTAGGGTTTGTCTAGTGAAGAAAATGAATCTTCCCTCTTCTAATAGTATACTATTTATTATGAACTTTAGATATAAATATTAAAGGTTTGTTTCATATCTCTAAGTACTCAACTATAGGGAAAATTACCTAAGTGTGGTGTGTGGTGGATTCAAGATTTGAAGTCGGTTTTAGATTGTATAGCACTTTTGAAATAGTAGGTTTAAAATAATCTATACATATCAAATATTTTTTGAAAAATAAATATAAAATTTGAATTAAAGCTATTGAATTCAATTGAATCTGTTTCTTGTGCGTGCGTTTTGTTTAGTTGTTGAGAAAATGTTTTTTTTAAGATCATTTCTATTAGCTTTAATTTGTTTAACATAACTTTGTGTTGTAATCGTGGAATGATTTGAATTTCTTCATTTTTAACTAAAATTTTTGGATTAGAGTTTTGGGAATAAAAATCATCTCGTTAGAAACGCCGCCCCCTTAAATAGGCCATGAACAAATTCGGGTTTAGTCGAATTTCAATTACGTCTACTAAAAACAAATATTTTTTTCCACATCAATTTCATGAAAATTTGTGTTATAAAACGTGATTTTTCCACCCCATTCCCTTCGAACCAACTCGATGGGAAAACACATTTGTCAAAAACACGTTCTCATTGAAATACTTGGAAATTTCCTAATTTTTCCATGTGAAAACACTAGTATTTTTTTCTTTTCTCACTAATTCAATCAAAATATATATGGAATATCCACTGAACATTTTTCAACGTAAAATTTCAATAGAAAAATGTCAATAACTTTTAGTAGTGAATGCAGATATCATGCACCGAATAATTTTTATTTCTTGTTTATTTTAGGAAAAATAAACTGATTTGATATTTGGAAAATCAATATTTATTTCTTTAAAATAAAGTAATTTTTTTACTGTCTAGAAAGGGAATAAAGTGCATAAGGAGAATTAAGAGAACAGGCTGAACAGCAATATTTTCTTTTAAGAAAAAAAAAGAAGCAAAAAATATGTCATTTTGTTTCTTACATTACATACAGTAATAATACTAGGGAGTTGGTTGCAGAAAAAAGCTGATGACATATAAATAATTGAGTTTTTTACCTTTTTATTGCAGAAAATTCTACTCATTGAGGGTTAGTTTCATATAAAATCATCAAATAGTATTATTGCAAAAAACAAATCATTAATTTAATTTTTTATATTTTATAAAATCACTCAACTTTATTTTGGTTGCATTGATACTATAAATCCGAAGAAGGAATCTCATTTTCTCCTGATTCCTTTTAAATTTAAGTTATATGTATTGTCCGTATAAGATCAGTATCTTGTTGTATTGTCCGTATAAGGTAATATGTTGTTGTATTGTCAATATAATGAATTTTTATATTAATTAACGTAATTTAACTTGTTATAACAATAGGTTACTTACCATTTATGGTAGGTAAGTATTACTTTTTCAATGACTTGTTTATAGAAATATTTTTTACACCGTTAATATATGGAGATTAAGCTTTCTTTTTTCATCTTAGTTTCATAACCATGTTGTATTCAACACTTAGTGGCACCCAAATTTATTTCGTATATTCTCTATATATTTACTATTAGTGTTGGAGTGATGAGTTAACATCTTATTTTGACTAATATGAATGGAGTTAATAGAGGAGCACTTTTATAATATTATCAGCGTGTATATTGACGGATAGAATATCATTTAAGGACACTCATAAGATTTGTGGTGGAGTGATAAATATTCTTTTATTCTTAATTAGATAGATGTTTTAGGTTCGAGTCTCCTTGAGTACGAAGTTGCTTTTGTTAAGGAGCGCTTTACCTCCCAATTAAACTTTTTTCAAATAGTAAAAGGTGAATATGATCTTTTACCTTGATATAATTATCCTTTTTATCTTAATTGAAAGAGTGGACATTCTTTTTTTTATCAATTACCCGGATAGGGTGTGCTGTATTAGCAAAAAAGGCTAATGTGGACATCTCATCTTTGATAAAATGAAAGAAAATGAGTCATTATGCCATAATCATGAGTATAACTTAAGCATAATATCCAACAATCATTAGTTTCATAATGTAATGGGTCTTAAACTTCAAAAATATCTACTTTTCAACTTCTCTAACTCAAATATATTCACTATCATAAAAAATTTAAATTCTACCGGTAAAATTTTAGAATATTATCTTAGAGTATCACTTATGAAATTTAGAACTCTAGATTAGCGATTATTTTTTCAAAAACAAGGTAAAAAATGGCTGATAAACGCTATTTTTCAATCAACAATTGCTTTAAAGGGTAAAAAAAATTTCAGGGCCCTTGAGGTGACAAAATTGCCAATTGAATTCTCAAAAGAAAAGAGGTTTATGTAATATTCAAACGTCGAGGTGAAATTATATGCTTGCTTAGATTTTGTGCCTTTTTTTGAGGTATATATAGATGTTGAAATGACTGGGTCCAATTAGGAAGAAAATTTAGGGAACATTGATAAGTTTGATTTTATTTTTTTTAAAGAGTAAATTTGTGGTGGTCATGATGTTCTCTTGGATTCGAATTTTAGAAAATCAAAATTAATTTTTATTACTTCCTTCAAATCCAACCTTATTAGTCAAATTAATTGAGTGTTAATTAAGATGTTTAAGACAGAGATCAACAATAGATGTTGGGAACTTCTTCTTTTCAACCAATCAGCAAAGCCGGAAACCTAATTATAAACCTGAAAACTTACAAGTTATAATATATAGTACTACTAGTATTACATGATGTTAGCGTTACACCTGCATAACCACTAATAGTTTTCATGTTTAAAGGTCTAACCATCATTCCTGATATACTGTGTTATAAATCTGATTCTATTCAGACCCATTAAGGCTTATAAGGAAATAAAACAAACAAACTTAATGAGTTGAATCTGAATAATTAAAATTTAGATCTTAAACAAACACACTTAATGAGATGAATCTGAATGATTAAGATTCAGACCTCCGTTAAGTGCAAACAAATTAGGCCTTACTCTCTTTACAACTCTAGAGTGTACACATCATCACCCACTACATAATACTTAATCGGGAAAAAGGACAAATATACCCCCAAACTATCGTAATGGTATGCAGATACCCTCCGTCATACTTTTGGGACATTTGTGCCCCTGCCGTCCAAAAACTCGGGCATATATGCCCTTCACTCTAATGATCATAGACAAATGCAGATCCCTCCACTTTAGTACCAATTACCTCACTTAGCTTTCCATCCCTATTGAAGTCACCTGATTACCACAAGGGAAATAAGAACATCGCTATTCGATTGTCAAACAAGAATTTCTAGCTCTGATTCAGACACATAGAACATGTATTCCAATGGCCTAATATAATGTAGCAAGCTGAGATTTAATGTCAGTATGTCACAGTAGATTAAGTTGAGGAAAGATGGACTCCGTACTTACCAACATCATACATAAAAACGTTCACGTTCGTTGGTATGTAGAGTACCCCTGCACCACAGAGTAGCCAAAGTAGGCTTCCGATAGAAAGAAGACCTTCAATCTGTGACTGCTCCATTCGAGCTCCTACGTGCAACCAGAATATAGCTAATTATGATATGCAAACAAAGAAGAGGAAAATGGAAACCAAAATGCAGAACGATTCTATAAAGAAAAAGAACCTGGAGCAAGACAGATGTAACAAAGCTGCTAGACTAGATTATGGCAGGCACTTATTTACATAATAACTAAGACTAATTAGCATTGTTTTATTTGAGGATATCCTAATAAGGTTCACTTTATTAAACTCGATAGAAAATCGTACCAATGTTTTTGAAAAGTTTTTCATGCGTAGATCATTGATTACATAAAGAGCAAGAAACGGCTGAGATAAAGAAGTCATAAAAGCTAACTGTGCATATATGGATGGTGTAAAACAAAACCTATAACTTAAAGAAGCTGAGCAGAACATTATGGTTACCTGTGAATTGTGATGTTTTCATTACAACTCTGATTAACACATAAATGCTGGCTACCATTGGGTCCAAGAAGTACTACGACCAACTGTCTTGTGAGCTGTGTTTCATATTGCAGTATTTGAAACCAGATTCAAATCCGCGAGGATTGAGTAGAGGTAACAAACCTATGCTCTATAGTTCAAACTTGAAATATAAAGACAAAGCAACAGCCAATCAAAACGTTGATTAGTCGCCAACAGGTGGTACTGCGTATGTAAAATGGTTGAAGTACATTAACACAAAGGATGTGTTCATAGAAGAGAAACTCAATGTATTAAGTACCTGCTTCTTGATTTTGATTCCTGAGACTTGTTCTCAAAAGAAGATACTAAAATGTCTTGCACATGAGATGATAACAATTTACATATGCGATACTCCGGTAAAACCATCCACGCCGTTGAAGAGCATATCAAACATATACTATCCAATCATTTGCACAAGAGACATATCGATCCCAACAATTTTGCAAGGAATGCAAACACCCCAATGAAACAAAGAAAATGCAAAGGTAATTAACAAAATGTTTTAATTAGATTACGGTATCAACTCCTAACTATGAACAACCAAGACCTATAATCTAGTAATACCGATGGAGTCTCCCACACAATAGGTGGTTCAATATCCATCACTGTTCTCCTGCCCCTACAGCGATTCCACAATGTAATCAGAACTTTCAAAAGAAAAAATCCCAACTGTGACATTTTAGTGCTTTTTGAATCCCCTCGTCTCCAATTCTAGCTAGCCTCATACAAAGCAAAAGATAAATAAGAAGAGATATATAGCTGTAATTACCAAAGGTGTGTCCTAGTGGTAAAAAAATCATCAAGTCTCTTAAAAACATTAGGTGATTTCTTTCCACCTGTCTAAAGTTCATAGTCTTGGTGGATAGATTTACTCGTTACTATGTTGGTGGGAGGTAACACACATGTGCAAGATAACTCAGACACCACGGTTATAAAAATAAAAATAAAATTGAAAGAAGAATTTAAATATTTAATGCAAGAACCTGGGAGGCATTCCAATAGTGGTCAAATAGAGGAAAGGTAAGTTTGCCAAAAGGTGAATGTTATGTCATTATGAATATGGCCTACACCATATGCTAAAACAGACCTGCATCTTCCCAGTGGCTTTAATTTGCTTCATCAGCTGCTCCACTTCATGCTACCAGTCATAATGGAAATTAGCTACTCTTCTGATAACAACAGAGAACATATAACTTTGCCAACAGTAGAGCAGGATATTAACAATTATAGTATGGTGATAATGCCTCCATTAGAAGTTAGTATTTCTTTTGAATTAAATTAAAAAAAGAACTCTCTTTCAATTATTGCCTGCTACCTCAAGTTTTCCACAGGGGCGGATTCAGCTTGTCGGGTGCAAATGCATGGAACCAGTAGCTTTTGCTCAAATCTTATATATTTATTAAAATATTCACTAAATATTTGACTATGAACTCAAATTTTATCATATATTAACTTGAAATATTATAGAAACTTATAAACTTTAAATCTTGAGTCCGCATCTGCAGGGAGATCACCCTCCAAATATCCCGCATATCTTCATTTTTAATCATATCTCTCTAGTATACCCACACATACATATGAGCATCCTCATTTCTACAATCCTCATTTCTACAACTTTCAACTTCTGAACGTTGGAGAATGCATCTACCTTATAGGCAACAATAATGTGTGTTGTAGTGCCAAAATAAGAACCAATTTGCTATCTAGATGTTCTTGTTGGCTTGTAGACACCATAAATCATGAGGTAGTGCAATGTGTACATAAGCTTGTTCCTTTCATTAATCCTTTTTGCAACTAGGGACACTCTGTATACTCGGATAGAATCTACAAGAACTGGACAAAGTGGATCCATTAAGCTCAATTCTGAACCACTCTGGTGGAAGAGATTAAGTTACTGCTCGAGAACTTTGAAGCACGTAGCAGACATTATCGCTAGCTAGGGAGCAAAGATGAATCAACCAAGATGGTTCAATGACATTCACTCATTACCAGAAACCGCAAATGGACATCTCAGATTGGTGAACAATGCATACAAGATGCAAGTTCATTGTAAAGGTAATGTACAGATAGAGACCAACACTGCAACACACAAAAACAACTCGATACCAAAATCAATATGAAGAGATAGTGATTATATTGAGTGTCTCAATCTTATTACATATTCCAAAACTCTTTCTCTATAGACAAATAAAATTACAATCTCATATTACCCAACAGTTTTAAAAGACTGATGGACATGCCTCAGGATGCCTTCATCCCTCTTCCATTCCGGCGCCGGCGCATTGACAAAATGAGCATACAATTTATTATTAGCACAAGTAACAGAAATCAAGCTATGACCAAGAACTCCATCAATTTCATAATCATAATACAATTGACCATTTTCATCTTTCCTTTCTTCTGATGTAACCCCATCAGCATTAGCAATTAAATCTTGCAAATTCACATCAGATAAAGCCAAATTGTTCAGTATTATATCTTTAGGTGCTAATTGCCTAAACCCAGCAAGATAAGTAAGGTACTCTTTCTCAGTCTTCTTCTTCGGGTTATAAAACTCGCTGTCTGTTCCATTTGTGCCCTTTTCAACTTTCGACACCAGACGCTCTTTCCATCCATCGGGGACGTCGTAAATATACTCAGCTGACGCCTTCTTGTCGGAATTTCCTCCGTAGCCGCCGTAATTGGCGGCGCTAGCAGCTGTACCGTAGTAAATGTTGAAGCTGGTGGGGGAATCTGCTAGAGAAGGGAGAGAGGTTGTTAGTATTGTGGTGGCTATTGCTGTGGCGGTTAGTGTGGTGGTTAATTTTGTTAAGAGGGGTTTAGAGAGTGGTGATAAGGTGGATTGGGGTCTGGAAAAGGGTGGTGGAACTGGTGGTTTTGTGGTGGTGGTGGTGGAGGAAGAGGTGGAGGAAAGGAAGGATGAGGGGTGGAGAATACTTGCCATGTGGATTTTTTTTTTTTGTGAAATCTTCAGCTTAGGGGATAGTCTATTATTGTGGGTTTTGTCATTATAAAAATATGTATCTTATCCATTTAGTAAGATTTGGTGAAACTAGCCAATTGTAGCCAATCATCAATGGTTTATGTTGCCATGTCATATTTGTTATTTTGTCAAACGCATATACGGTCCTTTAAATTTGTCCGTAATTACGTTCGATAGTTTTTTTCTCAAGGTAGGCCTTGATATAATGATTTTCTCAATTACATGTGTTTTTAAGAAATTGAATATCTTGAACTGAGGCTTGTTCCAATTATACACAATATTATATACAATTTTGTTTCTATTTCACACAATAAGCTGAAACTTCATTCGGTTAAGAACTTTGTGTAGTTAAGCGCCTGATAATTTTTTTATTAAAATAATATGCCAAATCACCCTCTTTTCTTGAGAAGAAAAATTCGTCATAATCAATTTTTATTTTATTTTTTGAAAAAACTAAATTCGCTGCATCAACATTTTTCCTCAATTACTTTTTTTTTGAAAAAACTGAAATCGTTGCATGGGCAGCGATTTTCCTAAAAAATGAAGTACAAATATTATTGATATAAAGATGAGAATCCTCACACTTCCATCCCCTTTCCTCCTTCGTCCAAAGTTTTCAAAAAAATAAAAAGTAGCAAAATCTTTAATTTTAAAAAGCAAAGAGAAATGTCAAATGTGAAGAGTGAGCAATTTCAGTTTTTCAAAAAATATAAAAAATTGAGGAAAAACGATGTCCATGCAACAGTTTCAGTTTATTAAATTTTTTTTGTTGACAAAATCGCTACTCCAATAGCAATTTTAATCGAATTTTTTAACAGCGCAAACGGTGTTAATTTTGTTCAAAAGACATCGCTCCCTCAGGAGCGATTTTGCCCTTTTGATTTAATTTTTTTTGATATACCGTTTATGTTTTTTTTTTTAAAAGGTTGCCGTTTTGACTCCGGACTCATCTAAAGTAATTGCATTCACCTCTTGTCTACAAATACATCAAAAAAAAAAAAAAAGGGAGATGAGAATTTAAGAAGAATTATCATAATAAATTGATTGAACCGAAATTGATAAGAATGAAGTTTACCTTTTCAAATTGGAGGCAAAAATTAAAATGAAAAATCAGAAGAAACGGCTAGAAGCGCACAAGAATTAGAAAACAAATTTGTTTTTGTGATTTAATTTGGACAAAGAAAATGAGACAAACAACTAAGAAAATAATAATGAGAATAGTGTAGAGAAATATAATTTAAATAAAAGCTTTTAGAGATTATAATATCACTGTTATAATTCACTTCAACCAATACTCACGTGCCCAAATGTTGTGCAACCCACACTTTGTGTCAACTCAAATTGTTGTATATGATAACAACGAAATTATACACAGTAGTGTTTTCAACTGAATCAAGGTTGAGTTCAAATTTTTAAATGAGAATTTTGGGCAAATTTAAGGTATTGTGTATGTATTTAGCCAAAAATATATAAACTTGTCAGATTTATTATCATTTTGACCTAACAAATCATTTTTCTTATTGAATACTCCTATCTAATAATATTAATATGTTATTGCTTGCACTTACAAAAGTTTGAATCTCAATGTTTAGATGAAGTTCTAACTTTTTAATATATTTGAATGAATTAAATCTTAAATAAAGTATGAATTATTCAGTTCCTTTAAATTCTTTGTCTTTCTATTTTAATATTAAATTTAATTATTACTAAAATTTCTCTTGTTTTCACTCAGAACTGGGACTATGTTCAGTGACTATTTTTTTTTTTTTTTTTGGTTACTTGAGAGTGAGCTCTCACTTTGATAATAAAATTTCCATAGTTACCAAAAAAAAAACATTCTCTTGTTGTGATCCATCTCCATGTAGAAGAACACTTCAACAACAAATCGAATCCTCAATCTTTATCTTCATCTCACCTTTTCTTTGTCATCGTCAAGCCACAAAAATTACTATAGTCACCTTCTTCCTACAAAAGTTAAAGAATTTCTAACTTGTGACTTATTTTTGTTATTATAGCTTTAAAAAAATTAAAAAAACTTGTGAATTTTTAAATTGTTTTAGCATAAAATAGTTTTTCATTTTCACTTCTATTCTAAATCACCCTCCTTAATTTTCATTTTGTAACCTAAGGTCCAGACCTGAAAAAAAAAAAAAACTTTAAAATGGAAGGTTGAGAAGAAGGTAGTGTATCTCTACCCTGAGCAGTTAGTAGTGGGATCGAACCGCCAAAAGCAAAAGCCCTAGCCTCCTTTAACGAGCCAGAGCGAGGGAGCGAATCGCTCTATTCTCGCTCTGGCTGTTCAATTCATCAACAATTGCCAAGTTCATGGTTCCATGTCATGTCGAAAAGGTAATCATTTTTTCGAATCGCCTTTTCATTTGGATGATCTGAAAACTTTAATTGTTCTGATTCCGGTACGCAATCTTGACGATTAGGTATTGATATATATATATATATATATATGTTCTTACGATTATATATGCAATTGGATTTATTGTGTTGTGATTGGATCATTGGATGGAAGATGTGAAGGTTTTTAGAAATATTGGGTGGGAATTTGCGTTTTAGGAGTTGCTAATTTCTGCCAGATGGTGTAGATATGTAAATGTTCTGGTATTCGTTTTTTGGTGTTGATTCCTAAGATTAGCTGAGGAGAAAGTTAAATTCAAATGGACTTTCTCTAAATATTTTTTTTTCTGTTGATTCCTAAGATCAGCTTTGAAGACGTTTTACAAAAAAATTCTGAACTATTTTTTCTTATCTTGATTCCTAAGATTAGAGGAGGAAAAGAGTTTTACGAATAATTTTCAAAGGGATTTTCTAAATGATCATGGGATTTCTTGAAGTAGCTTGTTGAAGTGATTATGGCATTTTCTGATCATTTGTACTTTTACAATAGCTATACAACTAAAGAACTTGATTGGCAACTTTATCAAAAAATAAAATAAAAAATTGATGAGCAAAGTTTATTGTTAATTATAATTGATGGCCTTATGCACTTACAGATATGCTTATATATTTTCCAGGATTCTTTGCAAGTTCTTTGTAAATGGTACATGTCTGAAAGGAGAGTACTGTGAGTTCTCGCATCATTGGAAAGATCCTCCAAATAATGTATGTTCGGGATATTATAGTTTTTCAATCATAGTTTTGAGTGGCTTTATCATCTGGTAACTCTTACTTGGATTATTTATGTAGGTATGCACATACTACCAAAAAGGATTATGTGCCTATGGTAGCAGGTGTAGATACAAACATGTTAAAGTTTCTGAACAACCCTCACTTCCATCTTCGTCAGCTCCAGCTCAACATCTGCTCTCAGCTTCTCCTCCCACCACTCTCTCTCCTGGAATGCTAGCAAATGGTGCAGGACTTCTGTCAGGCATTTCTTCAGCATCAGGCCGACCTTTTTACCCTCCCAACCAGCCTGTATGGAGTGAAAATTCAGAGCATCATGATGCGGCAGTTATTGATAATATTGTCGAGTTAAAGAGAATGAATCCAGCTGATCGATCAATTTGTTCTTTTGCTGCTGCTGGTAAATGTCCACGGGGAGAAAACTGTCCTTATATTCATGGAGATTTATGTCCAATATGTGCGAAGAATTGTTTGCATCCCTTTCGGCCTCTGGAAAGAGAGGAGCATATAAAAATATGTGAGAAGAAGCAAAAGCGCCTTGAGTTACTGAAGCATAGTCAAGAAATAGAGTGCAGTGTATGTCTTGAACGTGTACTCTCTAAGACAACTGCAGCAGAGCGGAAGTTCGGGATCCTTTTTGAGTGTGATCATCCATTTTGTATATCATGTATAAGGAATTGGCGCAATGGTACTCCTTCCTCTGGGGTTGATATCAACTCGACATTTAGGACCTGCCCTGTATGCCGGAAGCTTTCATATTTTGTCATTCCAAGTGTCATTTGGTTCTCCACAAAAGAAGAAAAGCAAATTATCCTTGATAGCTACAAAGCCAAACTGAGGTTCATCTTTCCTCTTCTCTGTTTTGTGTTCTTTGTTTTATTTCAGATTTTTATTTACCTGAGTGGCTTTTAGAACTATAAGCATGGACGTGACTGTCTCTAAATGCAACAAACACTGAAATTTCTTTAAAGATTTTATGTGAATTATATAATTGCAGTTGCAATACATGCATTAAATATATTCGACACTATACTTAGTTGTATTGGAAAAAATTTGGTACGAGAATCTATTGCATGTGATTTCAGGTGTCCGGTTGGGATTGATAAGGAGGGTATTCTATTTAGCGATGATACCTTGAGAGCTTTGGTCCAGACAACTGTTATAGATTTGAACCTAACGCAGACCAAAAGCTTGGTATTTAAGGGGGAAGAGTAGAGGGGATGGCCCATTACCCATTGAGTTTTGAACCGTGAGCCTATTGTCCTTCGGGGATTTCTCCATTTCCAAAAAACGTAAATCTTTTTCCTGATAACAATTATGTTCATTTAATGGTAGTCAGATTTGAAAAGTCAGTTCATAATGTTGTTGGAGATAGGGTTTTGTCTAAGTTTCAGGACAATATTCATTGTTAGGAGCCCAATGGAACTCTTCTAGATATTCTGGATTGAAAGGAAGGGGAAAGAAAACACCATGTAGAAGGCAAGAAAGGAGAGGAGTGATAATTTTTTTGAAATGATTATGAATAGGAAAAAAGGAATGTGTGTCATTGACAGTGTCATCGTTGATCTCAAGTATTTGTTCTTTTCGGGATTACAGAAAGGTCCTTTGCACCAGCTTTTGCCCCCCCTCCCCTCCCCTTCAGTTTCTCTTGCTAAAAATCAACTGAATAGCAAAAACTTCCTCTTATCACTTTCATCTCCCTTTCGGAGGATAAAAAAAGGTCCATTAGGCTATGAAATGACACGTTATTTTTTTACAGCTTCGTATTGACCCAATTCAGAGTCTCATATGTTTTTTTGATTTATTTGGCGAGTGCTGCTATTCTTTCCAAAGATGGAAAATGCTCATTATTCTAAGATTACTGTGTTTTATGCATTCAATCTTTTTGAAATTCTGTATAATGCAAATAAATTTGTTACCTCAAAGGCATTTTCGATTATTTTCTTTTCGACATTTTTCCAAAAAAATAAATGAACTGTTAGTGAAGTTATGAGAAATATTGGAGACTGGGGTTTGATCGCCAGGAAGTTCCGCACCTAGTGGTGGTGTTAATTTTTGAAAAACAGTGACGGAAAAAAAATTAATTACCGGACAGCCCCTATGTTACCGGAGAAAAACTGCACAGTGTGATTTTTTTTTTTTCTCACAATTGCTCTGATACCATGTGAGAAATATTGGAGAAGAATATTATTGAATTGTTGTTTTAATTATTACATAGAGAACCCTATTTATAGACACTATAATACAATTCCTTACCAAATAGGAGGCTATAAACTATTCCTATTCTGTGTAGGATTGTGTATACCTATTCTATAATTTCTATTCTAACAGAAGTCTAAACTCTCATCTAAACTCTCAGAGTATAGCACACTTAGTTTCTAAGTATACTTTTTTAGTTTAGGATTCTTAGAAATACTCAATATTTTTATACTTGATAATTTGTTTATTTTTCACATCAAACTAGTCTGGCTAATTTATTCTGGTGGTGTATCTTTGTATTTCTTAAACTTGTATTTCTATAAAATGTCCCCCCTTCCCCTTGTTCTCAAGGAAAGAAAAGACTATTTCCTCTTAAGTATCTTTTTCTCTCTGACTTGATCTTTGTTTTCAATTTCTGAGCTCAGGTCTATTGATTGCAAGCATTATGACTTTGGCAATGGGACTTGCCCATTTGGAAATAGTTGTTTCTACAAGGTACAGATGTTATGATGTCTATGTGTCTTTAGAATTTGATGTCAAGTGATTTGTTGCCATTCTGGTAAAATGACCATCTCCTTTTGAAATAATGGAAGTTTCTATAGAGTTAACCGATACTTGTGGGTGGGACTTGGCAGAGTAGTTGAGCTGCGCCAAAGCACACCGAGCTTCAGGTATTAAGTGAGCCTTTAACAACATTGTTGACCAGAGAAAATTTTTGGCAAGAGATTCAAAAAATCCAAAAATTTTGAACTTGTATTTCTCTGACAAGAGGGGGCTGCTGAGGTGGTAAGCACCCTCCACCTCCAACCCTAAGGTTGTTGGTTTGAGTCACCAAGGAGCAAAAAAGGTGGGAGCTCCTAGAGAGGGGTAAAAGAAAAACTTTTAAAAAACTTGTATTTCTCTAATAGTAGGGGGATTCAAAATATTATATATGTCTAAAACAAGAAAATTAATCCCATTGACACATTAAACTTTTCGACAAATTGAATCCCCTTCCTTGCTTGGTCGATAACCGAATTGGAGTGAATATTTTTCTTTTGGCCTGTTTTATCCTGAAACCCTTATTCTCTATAATGCTTCTCTATTGATCTAATATTTGTTTGACTCGTTCGCTTATCTAGTAAATTGACATAATATGATTTGTGAATTATGGACCATGAAACCTATCGTGAGAACCGCTGGTTGGCTCATCCATTATCAGAATAACCAAGTATAGGCTTAAAGCAGATCTATATTATGAAGGTGTGCTGGAGAAGCTCCTTTCTATCCTTTCACATTGTTCTTACACTTCTTGCTACTGCATTATGGACATCTTTAGGATCTATGTATATATATGTTCAAATCCCAGAGGAGACAAACACTAGGTGATTCTTCCCATTTTGTTCTAGCCTTGGTGATAGAGTTACCTGCTGGTGGGAGGTGACAGGTATCCCGTGGAATTAGTCGAGGTGCATGAAAGTTGTCCCGGACACCATGGTCATCAAAATAATAATATTATTTGTTATGAACTCCCTTCTTCTCCACCATTCATTGAGTCCTTTTCTTAGCTCTCCATCATTTGTTTTTTCTAGAAAAATGATTATTCTGCGGACATCCTTTTTTTCTCTCTAGAGATTTCCATAAGCTTTGTTGTAAAAGTATGGATTGTTATAGATGATTCAGGCATAAACGTAAACTGGTTCTCCATCATTCTTTTAGTATTCCAAAGGCTATACCTTAATCAGTCTTTCCAGAAGTTCCATCATTTGACTCATAAATTGAGCACTACAATTGAAATATCTATTTTGTGCAAGCACATCAGAACCAATGTACTCTCTCTTTCTCTCTCTCTCTCTCTCTCCCTCTCTCTCTCTCTATATATATATATGTGTGTGTGTGTGTTTAAACCACTCCTTTCTATTATGTTGAATAGCTTGGTTAGCCATGCTGCTTCAACCTCTCTAAGGTACTTTCAAATATTTATAGACATACCATCCAACATAGGTTTTTCCACCCTCATATTTTTAATGGTTTATGATGTACGATGACGAATGAGGAAGCTATAGCATTGGATTGCTGAATATGATGCTATTTTCCCAGATGTTCGATTTTCAATGAAACAAATGATTGTGTGTAGTCTGTTCGGAAAATCTCTTTCTTTGTATAGTTGTTTTGTGTCATTGATAAGGTTATCCAAGAAACCAAAAAAATATTATATACTATAGTGTTGGATTGACAGATCAAGGCTAAAAGAAGAGACTGATTGTTGATCTCCAATGCCTTGTTACTTCTAGCCTTTAGTTTTGTGCATCAATTCCAAGCTCATGCTTATACTTGTGTGCCTTTGAGCAGGGGCGGACCTACAGTGGTTCAAGTGGGTTCATATGAACCCACTTCGTTGAAAAATAACACTGTATATATATGTATATTTAATCAGTTTTTAAAAGTTTATATGTATATATTAAATTTTGAACCCACTAACACAAGTCTGAAGCTTAGCCAAGTGGTTGAGGGGGTTCAATTTCCCCAGCCAACCCGGGATCGAATCCCCATTGCCACATTTTAGTTTTAATTCGTTTTTCACACAGTTTTTGTCCTCTATGTAGGTGTAACTTTTGTCCTTTTTGTTACTTAGAAACTATAAAAAGTAGAACAACTTTTTACTTTTACAATTAAAAGTCCAATAGTCAACAACTTTTGTCCTTTTTGTTTTTAATTTTTTTTTAAGAAAAAAAACTCAACCAAAAAAGGCACTAATCCCTATTATTCTCAATTCTAAAAACCCTTTTGTCTTCTTCTTTGTTGAAATCTTCTTGAACGTCTCTTACTTTTCCCCCCAAAATTTTGAGCATATTTTTTTGTTGAAGGAAAAAAACTCTCCCCGTCTCTCAAATCTTGCATCAATAGTTAATATCCATCAAATATGTTTTTCGCTCTTGATTCTATTCTTTATATATACATATATGATTATTGTGGTTATTTTTAATTTCTTCAACTAAAAAATCCCTTATCATTCTAAAATCAACAAAAAATTACAAATAAAATATTAGGTATATTTCTATGTATTCGATTATGAAACTAAGGTTATAATTATTTTGTTTAATATTTTGTTTTTATTTGTTAAATGTTGAATGGAGAGAAATCATTCATAATATTCTTTTATCTTCTTAGTTTATATTGAAGCCTAGTTTTTCGTCCATCTTGTTATTTACCGTCTCATTCATAAGTCAATGTAATTTTTTTTCAAATGTATTAACATTGTTTAGTATAGTCAGATATGTATGTTGTTAGCCTCATTAAAATTACAAATAATATTAGGTATATTTTTATAACTTGAACCCACTTCATGAAAATCCTGGGTCCGCCACTGCCTTTGAGATATACATTTATGACCACTTCCAATAACTTGTCAAGCAAAAAAAACACTTAAAACTCATTTAATGTGGACTGTTTGTAATTACACTTGCTTTTGATGAAGGTTGTGCTTGTTGTCTTGGCTCTTTTCAGTAGTATATTTTTCCCGGGACATTCTAATGATAGATAGTTTCAAGTATAAAATTGTCGTTTATATTCAGTTGAAATATTGAATGACACTGCAGTAGAATAAGCGTTTTTTGAAGAGAACCTGGTTCAAACGTGATCCAACTTATAGATTGAAATGTATGTGATAGTAATATAGTGATGACTTTCGTTCAGGACTGTATCGTGTCACTCCATTTCACTGCAGTTCATATTTGCCTTGTTCATTTGGTTTTTGGTTTCTTTATTAAGAGAAAAGTGTGTCAGACTTCAGTAACAGATTGGTTTAGAGGTCAAGGTTATGCAGAAATGCTTACCTTCTGATTAGAATATAGTTTGTAGTTATTGAAGTCACAGGGGTTTGTTCTCTTCCATAATGGATGTTCCCAATAAAAGTATATATACTTCTCACAGAGGAAGTCATATATATTCATCAAGTCAAGAAGAATTTTCTTTTCTCATTTATCTTTTTTATCCGTTTTTCTTATCTCTAGTATTGTTTTGGTTCAGCCTTTGGTATATTATTCAAAATGCATGCTTGATTACTTACGGATGTTATGGTCCACTGCAGCATCAATACCGTGATGGCCGTCTGGAGGAAGTGGTACCGCGTCATCTTGGTCATGAAAATGGAAGCACAGTGATTGCTAAAAATATTAGGTTACACCCGTCATCCCATCTGCGTTCTTCATTTTGTTATGATGACAATGGTCACGGGTGTTTACTATTTCTTTCGGTCCGTAATTGACTGATATTCTTGCATATGACTGTTAATTTCAGGCTCTCAGACTTACTTGGCAATTTGAGAAGAAGGTGAGCTGTGAATATGCTTATAGTGATTTCAGGGTAAGTTCAAGTTTTACATATTTTCTTCTTTTTCTTTTACTTGGTGGTAACTTTTGCGTGTAGAAGGATTTCAAAGGGTTAGTTTTTTGTAATTTTATGTAAACAAAGAAGAAAAATAATTTCCTTTCAAATCAATATTTTATGCGGTTATTGACTGATTATTCTACCGTCATCCATTCCATGTTTTTTTAAATCTTTCCAATTTAAAACTCTTCTAATATCTTTTCATAGCCTGTTCTTTAATAGCCTTCAATGAGCAATCATTTACTTGATGTGTAAGTGACAACAATGTTCAATTCATTCTGAGCATTCTTCTGATTATCTGACTGCAGGGTTGAAGTCGGAAACAACTTACATTTCTTCTAAGTGGTTACAAGATTTATTGAATTATGTGAGGTAAGCCATAATCACTTCCCTTGGTCATATTGAATCTTGACTAGCTGCTCCGGAACTTGAATGGGCTGTGGCCTGTGAATATATTGACTTTAGCAACTTTAGCATGTTCTAGATTCTTTCAGACTAGACTCTTTTCCTTAAGAAACTCGCCATCTAGGGCTAGCATCTGACCTTCAACGAAACAGCGCCAGATCGCTGGTCTTGTCTAGGAATGGACAATAGCCTAGCTGGAGCCCCCTTTTAGATGAAGCTGCTTTTCCCCAAGAAGCTCTCCAGCCTAGTATTAGCATTATCCGTCCAAAGATAATACTGCAAGTTAGCTGATGTTGTCTAGGTATGGGCACTGGCTTGACTCTACTTGGCTTGCTTGTGTTTTAGCTCGACTTGTTTTGAAAGAGGGAAAAGTCTGGGTCAGTTATCATCAAAACTCGACTCAGCCAATGCTTGGCTCAAGCTCGGCTTGGCCAAAGCTTGATTTGCCTCAACTTTCTCTACTCAAACAATTCAGTTAAGTCATGTTACTAATACTTCAAAAATAAAAGTTTAAGCTCTAGTATTAAATAAACTTACTAATTTAGATTTTAAAATGTTAGTACTTCTACAATACTTTTTTTACAAAATAGTCATTACTAATTTATTAGCTACATTGTTAATATGATTGTAACTTAAGCTACTCTATGGTGACATAACATTAAAACACAACAAAAAAATTGATTAATGAACTGAAATCGTTAATGTGGTTCAGCTCAGTGTATTGAATTATTTTCTGATTTGAATTTTTTAATATGTTCTATATAAAATGTGATGTCCTTTCTATCCTTTCTATTCAAGTTCTGATTTAAATTAGTGATTCAAGTAAGTCAGTTGCATTTGTATTCACTTCTCAATCTAAACTATGGATTCTTATATTTTTTGCTTAATCACCTATTTTAATATATGAATTCCAAATCTGTTAGTCGCTTATGGGAAAAAAAGGTTAAATAGTTGACTTGAGAGCTCAGCTTTGGGTAGTCTCCATTCTATACTCACTGCTCGGCTGAGCACAGAATTGAAGAAAATTTGATTGGGCTCTACTTGGGGTTCGCCTTGATAATGCTGTAGAAGCTCAGTCAGACACCATACTGTGAAGTTTGGGCTGACTTGACGGCACCTAGGCCTAAGTTCTGTCTTGATTGAGCTGGATTCACTAGTCATGTCATTATTTAGATAGGTGGATGAATTTCTTATGATTTTGCTGCCATTCACTTATTGCATCTGATTTTGCTGCCATTTACTTCTTGCATAATTTATTTTTTAGGAGATTTGTTAGAATTGATCCTTGGAAGTTAGAATCGATAACTCAACCCCGTTAGTTTCAGGAAGAAGAAGAAAAAGGGAGTATATGTTTCACGTTTCTGTCTCTGTTGTTTTAACAGATTTATCAGAATCATAGGTGATGAATAAACCGTTCTTCTGTTTGCCATTGAATCCATGTAGCTATTTATTTTAGAAATCGTTGTTTTTATTTTGCTATATTTTATGTACTTCTGGTAATCTGCATGCTTCTTTTGTTTAAATTATAATTTGCTTGTGTCTGTTTCAGTACTGGTGAATTATGCGTTGGGAGTTGAGGTGCAGACATGGCATTCCAGACACAAGGGACTTGCTTGTATAATCATGGATACATGTGTATGGAACTTAACCTATCCCCTAAATAAAAAAACAAACAAAAAAAAAGAAGAAAAAGGACGACGATAAAGTGTATATGGATTGTGTATATTAGAGATTAAAACTAAGTATACTTGCAATTGTGAAGAGCATAATATAATTAAAAAACTAAAAGGAGCAGGGAAATGTTTTTGGCGGTTACTATTCCTCTTTCTACTCTTTTATCTATATTTGTTTCACTGTTTTTGTTTATTAGCGATAAACTATTTAACTAATCTTCTACTTTAATACGTGTCCAAAATGGCCTCTCCAAATCTGTGATGTACAGTATTTCTCAAGAGGCAGCAAACTTTGGGGCAACTAAATGCTTGCAAGAAAAAAGTAGGTTCATTAGAAGAGTGCGATAAGGTTTCAAGATTGGTCAGCAATGGTGTAGTGTATAATCCCACAAAATGGGGTCTACCCATTGGCCATTGAGTGTTATATACACCTTAATCGAAATGATTTGAGGGAGAGAGCAAGCAGACTTTACCCTAAGGTAGAGACTGCGAGACTGTTTCCTGACGCTCACCAAAGCAATATGAAATTTTTTTTAGCGGAAGTGAGAAACCATGACAAATTTTCATGAACAATGACAAACTAAATAAATAATGATACTATGAATAGTATGGAAGAATAAGATAACACTGTACTATTTAACTAATCTTCTACTTCGTGTCATTCATAACTTCCTACCCCTATCTAGTGACATGTCCTTAATAACATCCAATGATAGACTCTTCTCAACATCCAATGTTTACCATTTCATTGAGAATATGAGTTTAGAGAAACAGTTGAACCTCTACCTAGGATTTAATATCATAAATTCCAGATGCTATAACTGTGATTTAATTTTCTAATTTTGACTCTCTAATGCCAAATCTACTTTGGCAAATCGTCATCTACAGGTGCACTAACATTGGTCTAGCACTAATTAAAAAGCGTTAGTTTAATTAAGGGTAAGGGGTCAAAATTACCCTTCAACTTTCATTTATTAGTTGATTACCCTTATCATTAAAATGAAGTTATTCATACCCCTACCGTTAATAAACTTATCATCCATACTTTGGACGGAAATCTTCAAATTAATTGAAATTACTTGATTTTTCAAAAAATAAATAACCCATCACCGTAATATAACCCAAACCCAACCCATCTAACTAAACTAACCCAAACAAATATACTTATCTAACCAAAATTCTTGACTTATAATTCCCAAAGAAGAGAAACAATTCCTAATTTGTGTCACATTTTCATATTGAGCACTGATTTTCAGCATATTATCATCTTCCAAATTTCAAGAATGATACAGCCTTCCTCTGTGACTCACGAACCCACCAACCCCTTTGATTTTGTATCAAAGTTGGGCTCTTTTGTTTTTGAATCATAAGAAGAAGCCATTACAGTCTTTATTTAGTTTGAATAGTAGTAGAAATGGTGGTATTTCAAGCATTAAAGGAGTTATTCTTCAGTTCAATAGAGATATTATGCTACATTTGCGGTCAAACGTTTGAATCTCGATATCCGAAATGTGTCACATAAATTGAGACAGAGGGAGTAGTAATTAACTGATGTGAGATTATATTATAGAGTAATGATTTACAATTAATAATCAATGTTTAAGCTCCTAAAATTTTAAATAAACTACTGTCCACTTTCTAATATATTAAATTTTCTTCCTTCGGGTAGCCTAGTGGTTTGGGCTTGGGACTTCTATGTTGAAGGTCTCAAGTTCGAAACTCTTTGCCAGTGAAAGCAAGGGATTTGCCTTCTGGGTCGAGCTCATCGCACAGGGCTTGCCTAGTGCAGGTTACCTCTCCTATGTGATTTGCGAGCTATTGCATAAGAGTGAGATTTTACCCTGTGCGCACCCAAAGAATAACGACGGCAGGTTTCCTTGTCATAAAAAAATATATATATTAAATTTTCTTCTTCGTTCAACAACTCCTCCTACTTTTTTTCCTTCTTGTTCCTTATTTCTTTCAAAATGAATTTAGTTGAGCTCGAGCATTATTATCAACGTATCATCAAAATGGGTTAGTTCAATTATTTTTATTTATCGAATCAAATTAATAAAAGATAATTTTTGTTTTTTTTGGTAGTTACCGAAATATAGCTAATACTTCCAAATATTTATTAACCCCCCTATCTCAAGATTTACGAAACGCTGCGAGTGTAATACAAAAATATCAACTCTCTTTATTATTTAGCCAAACCAGTAATTATACAAAATAAAGTATAATAATCCCTACTATCACCAAGCGAAAAAACAGAGGAAGAAAAAGAAAAAAAAAATTCACTCAAGCATCAAAATACCACCGCATTTATCTAAAATGTATATCTACATAAGTACCGGCGGTAACGCCGATGAATAAATAGTCATCAAATCAACGAGGAGTAAAGAGCGATCGATCTAGTTCCTGAGAAGAGCGGCAAGAGAGAAGATCAGCGAGAAGCAGATAATCGCACCGGAAATCGGTAGGGAAAACGCACCGCCTTGGTCCGGCGACGGTGCTGGAGCCAATGTCGGTTCCTGAGCGGAAGCGACCACCGACAAAATCGCCACAATTGCAAAAAACACAGCCATAGCTTTCACTTCCATATCTCAGAAATTGCAGAGAATCGGAGAATGCAGTGAATTGGAGAGATAATTGAACTGAGAGATCGGAATTGGAATTGAGATCGGGATGAAGAGTGAAGAAGGTAGAGTAAGGGTTTATATAGGGAGATGATAAACCGTGTGGGTCCCAGGGGAGAGCTGGAGGAATATGCCACGTTGAGAAGACAGGTTGAAAGTTGATTTGAAGAAGTAAAAAAGAATGAGTCGCCGGAGAAGTTGAAGAATCGTCGCCGTCACGCTGTTAATGCAGACGGGGCCACATGTCATTAAAACAGGTAAGCAATTTTTATTAATACTATAATAATCAATGATTGATTAGTATAATTAATGGTATATACTGTTATTTTTAGGTAAATTATTAACCTCTTCGTTCCATTTGATGTGACAATCTTTCTTTTTAATCCGTTTAAAAAAAAATGTTACCTTTTTAGAAATAATTTAATTTCAAAATTTCATTTTATCCGAAATGATCTTCAGCTACATAAATATCTAAAAATTATTTTAGATCACAAAGTCTAAAAATATCACGTAAAATACGACGGAAAGATTATTATTGATATATTTGTAGGACAGTGATTGGTTTGTTTTTTTCTCTCTCTTAAAAGGTAGAATCGAAAAAGAAAAAAAAAGTTAGTTGGCGAGGTAGGTAGGAATATGAGAAATGTAGGTTGGACTTGAAATGATAAACGATACTCCCTCCGTCCGCAATTAATTGTCATGGTTTCCTTTTTTAGAGTCAAACTATAAGAACTTTGACCAACATTTTATGATGTATATTTTCATCATATTGATATGTAAAAAAATGTAATTTATAGTACTTTTCGTATAGTCTTTGAATATCTAATTTTTTTTAAAAAAATATCGAGTTAATGTAATCTAATTTAACTTTAAAAATTAGTCAAATTGACTTTCGAAAAGCGCAACATGACAAATAAAAGTGGACAGAGGGAGTACTTTATAGAGCAACTTTCATGTATAGTAAACACAAAAATCATATTTGTATGATATAGTTATAATTGTATAATTGTGCTTCATAACAAACATAAATATGTATATTTTGTTATACATATACAAAAGAAAGCAGTTGTATATAATATGTTTCTGTTTCGGTATACATATACAAAAGATCAATTGTATAATTTGTGTTAATATAAAGATAGAAAGAGAGAAAGGTAAAAGAGAACTGGGCAGGGGAATATTTGTATTGTATAATTATAAGTGTACATGACGAAGATATATGTATTTGCATGTGTATATACAATTTTCTCTCGCTTTATACAAACATAAACACAATTTATACATTTCTGTTTGTATAAGCGAGAGAGGCGGGGGAGAGACTGGCGAGCGAGATCTGGGAGAGGGGAGAGAGGGGAACAAAAATATATGTATATATACAATTTTCTCTCGCTTTATACAAATACAAACACAAACACATTTTATACATTTGTGTTTGTATAAAAAGCGAGAGAGGCGAGGGAGAGAACGAGAGTGGCGAGCGAGATTCACCAGGAGAGGCAAAATAGCAACAGTTTACTATGGGGTACAATTAAATAAAATTATATTTATAGCATTTAATTTGAATTAATAATTTGCTATTATATACAATTTTCTCTACTTTATATAATTAGTTGTTTCTTAAAAATGAATGGGTGAAACTAATTGCTTCACTCAGGGTTAATCTTTTAAATTAGTAGAAGGTTAATATTATTTAGACCCCTCAGGGTCAGTTGCATAGATTTATGCAAGTATTAGTAATATGAAAATTAGTTATGAGTGAATTTATATAATATTTAGTTATGTAGGGATTAATTGGTTATACATATATTAGTCATTCAGATTTCTAATGTGACAACCAACGTCATATTAAGTTAATACATGAATAATTTATTTCTTATTCAGCTACCAAACGACCCCCCAATTAATAATAAACTCTTATTTTAGTTTCTATAATCTATCTACAGTCAGATATCTCAATAACATCGTCCTTATATAACAATATCACTATATCAACCAAGTTTTTCTTAGAATCGTTATTTTATGTTATATTTCCCTTTTTATAACATTTTTTATATTTATAACAGCATCAACTAGGTCTAGATTTTGACCAAATATTTTGATACTTTAATATAATAGATATTATATGAAACTTTTTTTTATCATGAATATATTTTGCCATCATAGAAAGATTTTTAATTTCTTTTGTTATATAAAGTGTCATTAAGCTTAGAATTTGACATTAAAAAAGTTTAATCCAATTGTTATAGTAGCTAAAAAATCTTGAAATTAATAATGTACTTATGAAGAAGTTTGACTATGTATTTATATAGGTCTTCTATCAAATGAATAATTTCAGCAACATCAAACTATTAATAAAGAAAATTGTTTCATCTACCGGTTTTTATTTTTGGGCTGTTAGTTTGCTACCATGCAAAGCTTTTAAATTATTATTTATAATAATGTTTTTTTTTGGGCAAATTTACCATTTTATTAGAAATAAAATTCTCAATAGGGATAAGTACAAACAAGGGGGGCTAGGTCTTCCCTTACCAATCCTAATGCGGTAACAAACCTCTACTAACTAACAAGCATGAAGAAAATACGAGCTAGAGAGGACTAGGTATTTTGTTATCACCACAGAATTTGTAATACACTCTATGATGATATTACAAATGAGGATACTTAAATAGTGCAAAAATATAACAACCAAAAGGAAGGTTGAGTTATCGACATCAACCTTCCTTTTAAAGATGCATGAATAAAAAAGAATTGATTGCCCATCTAAAGTAACCGGTAGTATTTTCCTCTTGTCTCCTTCTTCAAATCTATCCAACAACATTTGATAGTTCATCACTTCTTCTTGGAATTATTGGATCTTGTTGAATATGTTGACACTGTCATATGATTCTGCTTTGCCACTCGCATCGGTAGGTGCATTGGAACAAACTCCTCAGTCACATTGTCATCCTAACTATTCTTTCTTCCATGCTTCTTTTTGTTATTGCGTTGTTGCCTAGGAGAATATATGCATCCCTAGCTGCATTCCCAAAGCAGTGATCCAACCAATCCTCTTCATCACTTTCCTCATCTTGTAGGTTAGCAAACTGATTTGGGCAGAAAGTACTACTACCACCAACTTGTAGTTGTTTGTTAGTGTTAAATAGGTGTAAGAGAAACCAACCTTTCAACATCAAAACTTCCCAATGCATCAATAAGCTCCTTGTCACTAACAGAAATATTTTGAACATTAGAACCTGCTAAAATCAATTGTCGCTCCCAATGTAACGGAGATGAAATATAGGCAACGCTACTACCCTTAGGCACAAAGGTTGATGCTCCGGGGCTCAATTTACTATGAGGTGTGACATGCTCCTCCACTTCTTCTACCATATTTTCACATCGACTCTCATTTGTAACACGTTTTTGCCCACTAGAAGTCATCAAACTATTTGTTGAAGTAGTTGTTGCTTTTTTCGATGCCACCACATTCCAGCCCTTACTGCCATATTGAGCAGAGACCTCACCACTGGATTTTTCAACTCGTTGTGTTGCCTCATGTTCAGTCCCTATAGCATGTTTACCCTGTCCAACAACTAAATGCTGCCTATGATTTTCATCTGATTCATGTGCATTAACATCACCTAGTTGCTGTTGAGAATCAACTAGTGATGCACCAACCACAACTCTTGAATTTGTATTCTCCAATCTTGAGAAACACCATGATGTGCATTCAATATAGTAGTTGCAGATGTTGAAGAACCAATTTTTGTCACATTTTGATTATCCTCAGCGACAATCGATTGTGATGTCTCAATAGTTTCCAAAGTTGAGGCATGCCCCTGTTTTTCGACGCGCCCCCCAAAGCCTTATCAGATTCGTGTTCAATGCCTATAGCAACTGAAGATTTCTCCTTGACATTAGGATCAAATTGAACAGTAGCAATACCTATTAGAACGTTGTCTGTAGGAACAATTTGATTTTCAACTGTTGTTTTGATATTAACTAGATTATTTTGGACCTCAACAACACCTTGTGCATCATTATCTGAAGTTTTTTCCGCCAACGAATCATAATTCAAGTCTGCTTGAGCTTGAGGATTTTTTTGAACCAAAATAGGACTGGAATTATTGTGCATTGCATCATCAGATTTGTATGATTCAGTTATCACCAATACATTGTTTTTGGTGCACGTACTGAGATTTTTATCATCGTCTCTTTGAATAACTTTTTCTAGTTCCCTCTTCTCATTCAAAATTCTCCTTGCGTCACCCTTATATTTTTGGATATCATGCGCAATTTCTTCTTCTCTTACACCTACTTCTTGATCATGGACTAGGTTCTTTTTCAAGATTAGACGACAATTTATTTCGGCATGGCCTTGATGCTTGCAATTAGTACAATACAGAGGAAGATTATCATAAACAATCTCTTGAAAGTGTTCCAAAATCTTACTAGATTCCTCATCCAAATACTGGAGTTTAATTCGTTTAGGATGCTTGTCCAATAGATCAAGTTCAACTTTTACTCTTGCTGTGCTAGGTCTTGATCGAACTTGAGTTGCTTTATCGATTGCAATTGGGCGCCCCGCTGCCGATGCAATTGATAAAAGGGATTTCCTAACAAACAAACTGATTGGCAAACCTGGCAGGGATCGGATAACCAAGCTAATGCTCTTGAAGTTTCTTTAATATCACAGCTTTTATTTTTTGAGCTTCCATTGACAGAATAGCCTTTCATATTCTTTGGTGCTTTACAAAGCTACAACACAATGACAAAACAATATACTCTTTCTGTCCCATGGACATTTTATGTGTGACATTTTTTCTTTGTTAGTCCATCTCAAAAAGAATGTCACATTTTTATTCCTAATGAAATGATTTATAATCACACAAATATTTAAGAGTTGTTTTATACCACAAGTTTCAAATTGTTGACAATTCATTTTCGTTTGTTTTAGAAAATTGTCTGATTTGCACCATCGTCATTTCAATAGCATCAATATTAAAATAGCTTAATGCAACCGACATAAATAATCAAGCATCAATCAATCGAGAGTTGACGGTCTGATTCCATTAGTCGAATTCCGTTTTCAAAATTTCCCGCCATTGGATTTCTTAAAAGGGATAAGTTACCTGAGGTATTTCCATGGACCGTTGGATGGAAAAAACTATCTTTCCCTTCTTTTTAATTGAACAATTGAAACATTATAAAATGATAGTACTTGTCATTTCACAAAACCAATAAATTTTTCCATTTTGAATGTTTACTAGCTACACTGATTTCATAAGTTGAGGAAATAATTGAAATATTATTGTTTCACTATTAACAATTAATAGATGAGGTTGTGGTTAAGATTGTCTCAAGAAAAGCATCAACCATCATGTGTCCTAGAAGAACTTGGGAAGAAGCAGTAAGGTGTAAATTGTCTTTTTGCAACTGCAAGCCCTTGGCATCAACAGTTACTACATTAGCAAGGTCAGGATTTAACTGTGCTTCTCTTACTATTTCTGTGTAATGTTTTCCTCCGGAAGCTAGAGCCACCTACATAAGTAATTTTGAACAAAAATATATATTTGCTTATCAAAACCAGATAAACAAATTGAAACGTAGGGAGTACCAAATTAAAGTTTACCTGGATAATCAAAAGCTCTGGTATCCCAACATCATTTCTCAAGTCAGTGAAAAATTTCTGCATTTTTTCTTTATAAGAATTTGCATCACTCTGGCTCATTGTGTCACTCTCCCCTTGATACCAAAGCATAGCTCTAATCACCCCATATTCTTGCACTGTAGAAGCCTTGGCTCTCATCACCAGCTGATTGTAAAGGAAAGTCCCCTTTTGCCATTCACTTATTTTGTTCCCTGCCATCGCGCATGGTACCAACCCTACTATCCCAAGACACGAAGTTTTATTCAACAAAGAATTTGCAAAGGGCATACCTGCATAGACCAATCTAGAATTTATAGTTAGTGTGTTCAAAGCGAGTCTAATCTATTTATACACAACTTTAAAAATAAAAATACACATGACTCATATCTATTTGAGTAAAATATACATTAGTGTGTTTTTCTTCTTCTTTTTTCTCAACAATGAAAAAATAGAAATGAAGGGAGGTATATTGTTGGGTTATGACATGTTATTTGACTCAAGATATTTGAAAATAAACACTTTGTTATATTATCTTCAAGATATTTATGTTAACATTATTTTGGTAATTAATGAAAGAGTAGGGATAGGAAGTAATTTCTTTCTTATACTATGTGATTTGCCTAATTTTTACAAATTCTAATGCATGGGTCCCCAGTTGCAGCCCATTTAGTGTTGGACTAGACTTGATGTTTTTGGCCCATCAAAATAGTGGGTCAGCTCGACCAATCCCGTTAAACTCCAAATCTCATATGGGCTAGCCATGATGAATTGGGCTGGCTCATGATACAGTCATATATACTGACAACTACATATATGATTCGAGCCGAAAGTTTTGAGTTCAGTTTAACTCCTTATAAATCCACTCCTACATACCTGGACCAATCCCACAAGTAACGTTCACGTCAATATCTGCATGTAAAGGTTCAGTGGCCTCCACCCATTGAAGATTGGCATCAAGTTTAAGGATGGCCGGATTAGGGCTACACTCCGGCGGAACAATACCATCCCATATGTTCTTCACGACACCTCCTAGGCCGGACATGTTACTCTGTCCAGCTAGTAAGAAGATGTTCTTCACCTGTGAATTTGCTATAGCTGTAAAATCACATAAAGCCATAATCATAAGCAATGCCATGGACTTTGCCATTTGTTATATACACAATGTTTTTCCACTTTATGAATTATATTCAACTTTTTTCAGATATATATATTGGATAAAATTGGTTAGCTTTTGTGTGTGTAGAATTAAGGTATAGGACTTTTGAAGTTCAAAGCAAACTTGACCCTTTTTTAATTTATTACGTTATATTTTTTTATTTTCCATGTGATTCGTGATATGCATAAATAAAATTGTGATACATAAAGAAGCATCATGTTGGCTTTGAATATTCCTTAATGGGCACTTAATTAAATATCGATCAAATCAAAGTTAGTTGAAATTTATTAGCTTTGAAGCTTTAGGCTATACTATAGTATATATTTATGTTAAATAAATAAAATACAAACTGGAAACAATAAAAAGTGAATAATTTATATGGTTTTGTTCTCTCAAATCTACGAAAAAAATTCTCAGTCATAATGTCAACCATGTGATAATAAGTTATGAGCAATTATTTAGGTGGATATATATTTGAAGGCACGTTGCATTTTATTTAATTATATTATGTGCCATGAGTACTCTGCAAGTTTGTGTCGTCTTTAATTAACTTCAGGAAAAGCCAGCTTTCTCAAGGCTTTTATTTAAGCTCTTTTGATATTCAGATTCGCATCGGATAGGACTTATTCTAAATTTTTTTCATATCAAGAACTCAAAACCTCTAATTAAGGAAGAAATAACCTCATTCACTGCTGTTTGGTGGTTTATTTAAGCTCATTGAGTTGCTGACGGTTATAACATACAAGTTTAGACATGCTGCAACAATTTTAATAAACATCGGACTTCTCTCTCTTTAAATGTCAAATATTACTAACTATTATATTGTGGCTCATACAATTATTTACTCTAAATGTCTAAATCAATGCTAACATATCATGGTTAAATAACTTAACAAAATGAAAATATACGTAATTAACCAAGTTATATATAGTTATACTATATGTTTAAACACACCATGTATATATTAATTTGATATAAATATTTGCTGCAATAATTTAAACTATTAGAGAAGGTCAAGTCTAAGAGGATGTTTGCATATACGACTAAAGTATGAATATAATTAATGGGTGGCTACAATATTGTTAGCCAAAGAAGAACATACCAGGCAAGAGAAAAGTTAAATTTATGTTCCCATGTCACTAGCAAATTTCTAATTTAAAATACATGCAAATCTCATTTCTAATTTTCAACTCTAATTTAAAATACATCAATAACACCTAGTTTTCTCATTTATTTCTTTTTCTTTCTGCTAAGTTGACTATTTCACAAATAATTAATAACATCATCAACTATGGCATATAAGCTGATCAACTATTTTTTCATCAATAACACCTAGTTTTCTCATTTATTTCTTTTTCTTTCTGCTAAGTTGACTATTTCACATATAATTAATAACATCATCAACTATGACATATAAGCTGATCGACTATTTTTTCATCAATAACACCTAGTTTTCTCATTTATTTCTTTTTCTTTCTGCTAAGTTGACTACTTCACATATAATTAATAACATCATCAACTATGTCATATAAGCTGATCGACTATTTTTTTAGCCCATTTAAAAGAATAACTCTTTTATTTAGTAACGGTTTAATGCTCTATTAGGAAAAATTACAGATTATGACAAATATTAGTATACATTTAAAATAAATAGTTATAGTTTTTTTTTTAATGTTATATGGATATAACTACACAATAAATAGCAAAGTTAATTATATAAAAATAATCAGAAAATTATTAAATATTAAATAGGAAAGTTATTATTACAAGCATACTTAATTATGTCTAGGCACATTTTATGTGATCAGTTTCTCATGTTTACCTTCATTAATACTTTCTCTTTCATCAATATTCCTATATCACATATTTTCAATAGGGAAGTGCTAAATGGCCAGAAAATGTGGCCAGAATTTGGCCAGAAAATTAAAAAAACTATAATTCTGGCCAAATTTTTTAATTTTATAATAAACTGATCTTTTTTCCATTTTTTAGTAAAAAGGTATTAAAATTAAAAGGGCAAAATGTTTTAAAAGATAAAATAACATAGATAAAATATCATTCTGGCCAAATTTTCTGGCCAAAAAGATTTTTCCTTTTCAATATTTCCTCTCCAAATTCCTTTCAATTTAAGATCCTTTTGATGATTCTAGGAGCAATTTTTGTTATTTGAATTCATCAAGTATCTTTTAATTATTTTTTCTCGTTTTTATGAAGATTATATTTGTATCTATCTATATTTTCATCTATTTTTATAGGATTTCGATTAAAGAATTATTTTGTTTTATCCATTATAATGGCTATAGTTATAAAAAAAAATAGTACAGGAAGACTATGAGCAAAAAGAGATTGAGGTTTGTGTGATTGTAAAAAATGTATATATTAGAATACTTATATACATAGATACTTTATTGTAATATTAACACAAGTTGAAATAGTGATGTGTGAATACAAGTATATGATACATAAGTAATCTATCCAATTTAAAAGATTGATTAGGCAATCAAGTATAATCGGATACATTAATACTATATTTTTATAAACAAATACCTGAGTTAACATCAAGCCTCAAGTATAACAGGAAAAACTTGACAAAAAAGAGATTGGTGTTTGTTGAATTTATCAAATTTTTATACAACCAAATACACTTACACACTTTGATACCTACACATTCTATTATTTTTCATTTTTCTTGCTTCTAGGTTGTCCAATGTATCCATCTTTTGTTTAACAATAATGTATTCATATGTATATTATATTGTTGTATTCATTTTTTGTTTAAAAACAATGTATTCATTTTTCAAATTGTCGTGTTCAGATGCTAATTGTCATACTTTACCTTGTTTGGTATATTAATAAATTAAGTTTTTATAAATACTTGTATCTAGGGGTGTTCACGGTTTGGATAAAAACCGATCCAAACCGAAAAATTGAACCAAACCGATTTAAAAACCGATAGATATGGGTTGGTTATGGTTTTGTTCGAAAAAACCGAAGAAATAACCGAACCGAACCGACAAGTTATATACATATATTTTATGTTATACATACATAATATATTATTTTTATTAACAACTTTAAAGATCTTATATGTATTTTCATCAAAATTTATTTATAATTTACTTATGAAAGAAAAAATGCCCACAGTGAGAATATTTATCTTATTGGTTTTATGTATATGAGTGTGTCTATGACAATTATTTATAAGATTGAAAATATCAATGTCTCTTTCTTCTAAGCCAAACTAATGAAATTGGAAACTTTATTCATAGTAAATTCAATGATGGAAAATTATGTAATGTCAGTCATTCTAACTATTTTTGTTTTAAATAAATTGTTGTCATTTTTTTAACGCTCTGAATGAATTGTTTTTTTATTTTTATTTATGATTAATAACCGAATAACCGAACCAAATCGAACCGAAACCAATAAGAACCAAACCAATAAATATATACTATATTTGGTTTGGTTTGGTTTTGATAATTTTAAAACCGATTAAGTTGGTTTGGTTTTGGTTTTGCCCAATAACCGATCCAAACCGACCCGTGAACACCCCTACTTGTATCCTTGATATATTAATACTTTAAGGTTTATAAATAGAAATATCAATCTGAATTCAAAGTATTTATATGCTAATTGTACACAATTAATACATTTTCCTTATTTAGTTCATTGTAATTAAAACTATATTAGTGTATAAATAGAAAAATAAAAACATATAAAGAAATACAGCTAAAAAAAATATAAATTATAGTCATTTTTTGTAAAAATAACATACTTATAGCTATTGAACTTTAATAACCCTATAAATATAGTCATTTTTGTAAGCTGCTCCCTATTATTAACTTTTTACGTGACATCTAAAATTAATAAACATTTTGATACATTTGATATATTTTTAATTTAAGACTATAAAATTCTAAAGTATTCTTTATTTTATTAAACTTCGTACCAAGACAAAATAGATCAAACAAATTGAACCAAATGAAGCTAGTAATAATTAGATTTTTTCTATCACTATTTTAAAATATAAATTATATTTATAATTTTAAAAAATAATTACTACTAAGAATAAATAAAATAATACTAATAATTATGTCACTCACAAATAATTTGACAAAAAGAGTAAACTTTTACCACACCAATAAATTAGGAAAATGACGTCTAAAGTATTATGAATTTGTAATAACATGTTCATACTTTATGCATATTTACAACTCCCTAATTTTTTTATTAAAAGTATTTATTTTTTGAGATCTCATTTTTTTAACCTTAATGTAACTTGAGACTAGTCTGAAACATAATTATGAAAGGATACAGTGATTCATGAGATTAAATTTTAAAAAATCAACTAATTTTAACGTATAATTTGCATTGACAGTCCTGTTTGATAAAAAAATCTTACTTCTTGCCGGAGATCGGAGAACTCTGAATAGCTTATTTTTTCTCCGGTGATTGAGTTTCGCCCCAATTAATAGCAGCAAAGAAGAGCCATATCTGCGATCTGGAAGCATTTCCTGATTGAAAATCCATTAGGTTTCAGTAAGTTCTCTTTTCACACTAGCTCTAAAATTACTTTAACATCATCTGCCTCGCTACAAAATTTTGTTTCTAAGGGTAGAATTTTGAAGAATATTGATGAAGCTGTTGCTTTATTCCGTCGAATGATAGTTTACCGTCCTCCGCCATCGGTGAAGGCATTCACTGAATTGTTGAAGGTAGTTACGGAGATTCAAAAAAAAAAAAATACTCTGTTGTTATTCATCTCTATAAAGAAATTACTACTTTGGGAATTGCGAACCGAGCATTGCAGCTTATAACACCTTAATTGACAGCTTATGCAAAGATCGAATGGTAGATGATGCCCACAAGGTTTTCACTAAAATGATTGAGAAAGGGATTTATCCTGATATTATTACATACAGTTCAATTATTCAATGTTTTTGTAATTTTGGCCAATGGGAAGAAGTTAAGAAAGCTACTGAATCAGATGATCCATCATTGTGTGTATCCGAATGTCTAAACCTATAATATATTAGTTGATGCATTTTGCAAGGAAGGTAGGGCGGAAGACGCCAAAGCTATCATTGAATGTATGATACAAAAGGGCGTTGATCCTGATGTAGTCACATACAACACATTGATAGATGGTTACTGTTGGCAAGGTCGGTTACATGAAGCAAAACAAGTGTTTGATTCGATGGTGCAGAGGGGTGTTCAACCTAACACTAATCAATGGTTATTGCAAAAGAATGGAAATAGACAAAGCCATAGATCTTGTGAGAGAAATGTCTCTAAAACAATTAAAACCTGGAATTGTAACATACACCACTGTTTTGCAGGGATTATTTCGAGTAGGGAGATTCTCCCATGCACAAAAGATGTATGATGAAATGCGTGTTTTAGGATTCAAACCCGATACTCACACTTATTGTATCATGCTAGATGGTTTGTGCAAGAATGGACATGTTGAAGAAGCTCTGGTGTTTCTTCAAGAACTGGAAAGAAAGAATGTTGACCTCAGCTGTTCTATGTATGATGTTGTTATTGCTGGATTGTGCAAAAAAGGCAAGCTCAATATTGCTCAAGATATATTCAATAATTGTGTTCTGATGGTTTACATGTCAACGTGAGGTCGTACAATACAATGATAAATGGCCTATGCCGGGAGGGTTTGCTAGACGAAGCAGAAGACTTGATGAGGAAGATGGAACAAAATGGTCTTTCACCCGAAAATTTTGCTTGTGATTTTATTTTGCAAGGATTTCTTAAAAGGGATAAGTTACATGAGGTATTTCCACTTCTGCAAGAAATGATTGATAAGGGTTTCTCTCCTAATTCATATACATTTCAGCTGCTGATAAATCTACCTTCAGCTGAATCTACTCTACTCGACATGATCCAGAGATTAAGACCCAACGATTGTCAGTGATTTTGTTCTAAATTTTGGTAAAGGAACAGGATGCAGTAGCCACCTGGTGTGATGTTTGCAATCAGTAAGTAACGAACTTGGTTTGATTGATAATACTCTAAAGTAATTGTGTATGATGTTATATACATATACTGAAACTAGAGATCTCTGAGAAAGCAAAAGGGCCAAAGTGCCTTATGAAACTATGTACTACAAAATTACACAGGAACACCAATACCTATAGGGGTTGTTTCGGTTGCTGGTTAGAGTTATGCTGGTAGTAATGTAGGATGTGTTATTCATGTATTAGTTATTCCATTTTCTACCCTGCATAAAATAATATATAAATTGACTCATAAATTATACATGTGGGATTGTAAAAATAATAACCAAACACCGTACTTGGTGTGTTGAATTTTATACAAAGCAACTAACATCTACGAAATATTGTATTAACTATGCTAGCTTTAATATATGAATAATTCCCTTCTTAACCAACAACCAAAGGTACCCCGCTTTAGCTGGATGATTCTTTTGTTGTTGCAATTTACTTCTCCTTTTCTTACATAGCTCTTGTGTCATTGTCAATTAAACGTAACTACAATTCATGTTGCATTTATTAGAAACATATTCCCTTTTGTAATTTCTATGTTCAACGAGGTTGACACTTTAATGTATCGAAAATTGACACCCCTCGTGGATTGTTGGATGGAGAAAACTACATTTCCCTTCTTTTTAGTTGAACAATTGAAACATCAATTAATGATAGCTTGTACTGTTTTATGATTACGTTACAGAGTATTGAACATTTTCCCTTTTTGAATGTTTACACTGGTTTCACATGTTGAGAAAATAACTGAAATATTCTTTCACTATTGACTAATGAATAGATTAGGATGTGGTTGAGATTGTCTGAAGATAAGCATCAGCCATCATGTGTCCTAGGAGGACTTGGGAAGAAGCAGTAAGGTGTAAATTGTCTTTATGCAACTCCAAACCCCTGGCATCAACAGTTACTACATTTGCAAGGTCAGGATTTAACTGTACTTCTCTTACTATATCTGTGAAATTTGTTCCTGAAGCTAGAGCCACCTACATAAGTTTGAACAAAAGAAGTGTAAACAAGTAAGGATAACTAATAACCAACTTTGCAAGGGATGCTTGACTGACCTCAGATTGTGACGGAGAATTTATTGTATTATTGAAGTTAAGCTTTCAAAATCTAATATTTGTTGAAATTTTAGTGGAATTTCACACACACACACACACATATGCTCCGTGTTGAAAATATACTGCATTTGGATGAACCTGCAGCTTAAGAACCGGTTCCTGCAGTAAGAGTTACTCCCTCTGTTTCAATTTGTTTGACTACGGACCTTCCTTTTTAGTCTGTTTGAGAAAGAATATCTCTTTCCTTTATAAGTACTTTTTAATTTCCAAATGACATGTTTAAAACCACAAGATTAAAAGACATTTTGGTACATTCCACATATCCTTAGTTTAAGATCGCAACACTTAAAAGTCTTCTTTATTTTCTTAAACTCCCTATCAAATTGAAACGGGGGAATTCCCAAATTTAAGGTTACCTGGATAATCAAAAGATCTGGTATCCCAACATCACTTCTCAAGTCAGTGAAAAATTGTTGCATTTTTCCTTTATAAGCATTTGCATTACTCAGTAACGTTGTGTCACTCTCCCCTTGATACCAAAGCATAGCTCTAGTTACCCCACATTCTTGCACTGTAGCAGCCTTGGCTCTCATCACCAGCTGATTGTAAAGGAAAGTCCCCTTTTGCCATTGACTTATTCTGTTCCCCGCCATTGCGCATGGTACCAACCCTACTTCCCCAAGAAGCGAAGTTTTATTCAACAAAGAATTTGCGAAGGGCATACCTGCACAGACGAATCTAGAATTTATAGTTAGCATGTTCAGAGCGAGCGAGTCTAATCTATTTAAATCCACCTCTACATACCTGGACCAATCCCACAAGTAACATTCGCGTCGATATCTGCATGTAAAGGTTCAGTTGCCTCCACCCATTGAAGTTTGGCATCAAGTTTGAGGATGGCTGGATTTGGGCTACACTCCGGTGGAACGATACCATCCCATGTGTTGTTCACGACACCTCCTAGGCCCGACATGTTGCTTTGTCCAGCTAGTAAGAAGATGTTCTTCACCTGTGAATTTGCTATAGCTGTAAAATAGGATAAAACCATAATCATAAGCAACGCCATGGACTTATCCATTTGTTATATACACTATGTTTTTCCACTATGAATTTCATTCAACTTTTACAGATATATATATTTGATGAAATTGGTTTGCATTTGCATGTTTCATAGCAAGCTGGACCCCTTTTTATTTATTAGGTAGTACAGTAGTTTTTTCCATGTGACTCGTGATAGATAAAAAAAAAATTGTTATTGAAGCAACATCATGTTGACTCGAATCTTCCTGGGTACTTAATTGAATATCGATGGAACTTATAATTTGAAATTTATTAGCTTTGGCTCTAGGCTATACTACACAAGTTATAACATCAACAACATATCCAGTGAAATCTCACAAAGTCGGATCTGGATCTGGGAAGAGTAGAGTGTACGTAGACCTTACCATTTCCGAAAGACTCTCGACTCAAGTATATCAAATCTTAGGGAAAAGAAGAAGAAAACAATGGCAAAAGCATAAGAGAAAAAACAGAAAAATAATATGATAATCGAAATGCAATAAACAACTTATGGCAAGAACTATAAGGGCACGACAAGACAACACTCTACCACTACTAACTTTTTACCCTAATATGCGACCTTCACTTCTTCCTATTTAAAATTATATCCTCAATAGTATGAAGCTGCATGATATCATGTCTATTCTCCCATACTTTTTCGGCTATAGGCTATACTATAGTATTATGTTAAAATACAGCCTGGAAACAATAGAAGTGAATATTTTATATGGTCTATCTAAAAAAAAATCTCATGCATAATGCTAATCCTGTGATAATTTAGTTAATGACTAGTGGAGTAATAAGTTATGAGCAATTATTTAGGTGGATATATTTTAAGGCATGTTGCATTTAATACTGCAATTTCTTTAATTAACTTCACGAAAAGCCAACTTTTGTAAGCCTTTTTTTTTAATCATTTGGTGTCCACTCCCCGCAATATTTATTTTTTGGGATAGATTATTTATTTTGCGAAATAACACTTATTTTTTGACGATTGAATTAAAATATGGATATTTTCTCAATTTAGTTTGTGTTCATTTAAGGAAACTAAACAAAATTGTCCTTGTGATTTGGGAAATTTTAATTGTAGTCTTTGTTTAAAGTTTGGGTCAATCATACGCACGTGATTAACAGACTGACAAATAGTTGTCCTTATTCCAACTAAGCAACAAATTTATTATTTAAAAAAATAAATAAAAAAGGTTGCTCTTAGTTGACTAATCTAGACTAATATCCTTTCTCACTAACAGCTTGATTTTGAACCTATTTGTGCCTATCAAAATCACAAAATACCACTTAAATGTTATTTAAACTCTCTTTAAAGAAACAAAAAATTATTTTTCACCAGCCTCTTCCCTCCATTTTTCTTTCAATAAAATGGAAAAAAATCAGTTTCATGTATAAATTACCAAATATGTGAAGACAATATGTCTATACTCTTTTCCACCATAGTATGTCTACACTCTAATCTATAATAGAAAAACTTGAATCCTTTTAATACCTGACGGAGGAAACAATCTTCTTTAAAATAAATAGGCGGAATGACCCCTTGTATTTGGCTCCGTTTGTCAGTTGAACCCTCTTACTCATCACTTTGCCAACCAAACGCTTAAACTCATCAGAATTCAATATTTTAAACCCTTCTAACCGTTGACCGAGCTTATGTGACATTAATATTGGTGAGTTGGAAATATGCGTAATTACACGCACTTGAAAGCGAGTTAAAACAATATTTTACTTTTAAAAAAATCAATTTAACAAAACTAAAAAATAAGTTCCATCATCATCATCTTCTTCTTCTTCTTCTTCTTCAATTTTAAAACTCTATTTGATAAGCTTTTGATAAGCTTGAAAAAGCTTAAAAAATAATAAATGGGTCTTGTGAATTTGTAAAATTAATTAAAAATTTTGATTGGGGTTCGTTGAGTTTGTGTTGGTGAACTTGTAGTTGAATATACAAGTTAAACCGAGAAGAATTTGATCTAATAGGTATGAATTTAGTGCTCAATTACCAAATATGAAGAAGATGACCATTTGAAAAGTTTAAGAAATTTTAAAATTGATATATTTGATTTTTTATTTTTTTTAGCACTTAATTTCGTACATGACACTAAAAAATGATGTGGAATTCCATGTGTAATCGCGTTCATTACACGCACACTGGCAAGGGGAGAAAAGGGCTTAAAATGTTGTGTTCTGATGGTTTAAGGGTCTAGTTGGCAAAGTGATGAGTATGAGGGTTCAACTGACAAACAGAGTCAAGTACAGGGATCTCTTAGGTCATTTCGCCAAAATAAATATGATAACAATTATAATATCACAAGTAGCAGCAAATGGATAGATTGAATCAGATTTGTCCAGATTGAAAATGGATTAATGAATTGTAATGCATCATATGAATATTGATAAAATATGGATTGGGTGAATGGTTCTAATCCACATTAACTGACCTAGGACCTGACTTCAATCCCGACCTCGATCTCAACTTGGGACCTACGTACCTCAGCATGGGATTTAACCTCGATTCCGACCTTGATCTCAACTAGGGACCATACCTCAATATGAAATCTAACCTTAATCCTGATCCTAACTTAATTCTGACTCGAGATTCGACTCGGACTCAAGATATGATTCCCATGGACCCTAACCATGACCACGATCTCGACTCGAGCTCCAATTCTAATTCATGATTCAACCTTAATCTAGGAATCGATCGTAACTCCAACCCCGACTCAGGAACAAATCATGAGTTAGGGGTAGGTGGAGATTAGGGGGAGGGTTGATAGTGCGAGGGGTTGGGTTGGGCATTTGTGTGCTTTTATTGATCTAGTAAATGTTTTCTCTCAAATTTTAAGGAAAAGATATTCTCCTAGGTACAAAAGTGAGTTTGTATATGAATGCTCACATGTTATCCATTATTTTTATGCGTTAAAAATAGATTGAAATTTATATTTATATATATAATTGAAATATAAACTATCTAACTCATTAAAAATATGAATTAATTGAATTAATATTATAACCATGAACTGAAATTTCAACTCTAAATATCATAGACAACTTAAAAAAAAAAAAACTTTAGAAAAAACATCAAAATATTAAAAAAACAAAAAATAATACAACCCTCAAAATCTAACACTCTTTTAGCATAAGCATAAAAAATAGTCAAAATATTTTCAAATTTGCAATTTCTTCTGATCTGAAAAAAAAAAAAAAAACCATGACAAATCAAAACCAACAAGAAAATGCTAAATTCTAGAAGAAGAAAAAGAAAAAGAAAATTGAGAACCCTTAAATTCTAACTGATGATTTTCTTACAATTACCCTAAAATCACTCTTGCCATAAATATTCAAATGTGGTTGAAATTATACCTAGACATATTATATATACCCCTCTTCTCAACCACATTTAATTCACCAAAGCAAAAAAACAAAAAACAGAAAAAAATCAAACATAAATTTCAAAAAGATAATTATTAGTTATTTAAAAAAATATGGAGATGAAGAAGATTGCTTGTGTCACCCTCATTGTTGCTGCCTCAATTAGTTCAGTAATGGCTCAAATATTGCCCCCAACCTCTGCCCCAATCTCTTCCCCGATCTCTGCCCCAGCCTCTGCCCCATCTAGTGATGCCGCCGTGTCATTGCCCCACGTGGCAACTTTGGCTGGGGCTACTTTATTATCCTTCTTCGCTTATTACATGCACTAAATTATACTGTCAAATATCTCTAAAACAATCATTTCTACGTTAATAACGATAAAAAAAATTGAAATATATATTTTTTTATATTATGTTATATTATATATTTTTTATAACATTATTTTGTTATAGAGGCCAAAAGACGATTTAAATGATATCGTTATAATGAGATTTGATTGTAATTAGAAAGGGGAAAAAAGGAAGAGAATGAAGAATTGAAGGAGATTACAGGTCTTGGTGGGGAGAGGGAAAGATTTTTTAGATACATCTTTGTGTACTATATATCATCGCCAACAAAATAAAATCATTATTTTGTGGTTTATTATTGTTGTTTCTTATGTAACATCCGGTTAATTGTATTTCATCATTTTTGCATTTATTTATTTGAGATTGATCGATCAATCTCAAAATTATCAATGAGATCAAGGTGAATTGTCGCGTTCAAATCCACAAAAACAAAACAAAAAAACACATCTTTTCTCAGAAAAAAAATCTTTTTTTATACTCTATCCTTAATCGAATATAATGGTAATAGAAATAAATTTTATAATATATATCATATTAAAAAAATAAATATTAAACCTGATTCAGTCTCGAAAAAGAACAACGAAACGCCAAAAAAAGAGCATAAATTCAATTTGATGATTGAATAAAACGTGTCAATCTTTATCCAATAGTAAAATGACACCGTTTCTCCCAACAAAAATTCCCCTAGCCAAATGCCATACATGCAGTGAACAATATCTGTACCTCTTTTCGTTCACTATAAGTATTATGCTTTTCTCCAATCTTTCTACTGAAAAAAAACTGAAGTCTCTCTCAGAAATAATTCATCATTAAAAAATAAATATTTTGTTATATATCAATGGCTTGCCTTAGGTTTTTCTATATTTATGTTGTTCTAGTTTTGATAGTTGTTTTGAAGATGTCTGAGGCTCAAGACTTGGCATCGGAGAATATTGCACCTTCACCGGCGCTGGCTACCGGCGATGGTTTTGTTCCGGCGACCTCTGTCGGAGTGTTCTTTACTTTTTGTGTAATCAATCTCTTTATTAATATGCATTGAGGTTTTGGTGATGGTGCTTCTACATTAGTACCAAATATGATTTTGCTCTACCGCCCTTCATTTTTATGCTACCACTTGTTACTTATGCATTTGTCTTCTTATTTTTCCTTGTTATATAGATAGATACCTGGGGTGGCCCAATGGTTTGGGCTTGAGAGTCTCAAGATCGAAACCCCTTGTCAAGTGTGGCCTAGTGTGGGTTACCTCTCCTATGTGGTTTGTGAGCTATTGCATAAAAGT